CGATTGAGAGATCTACGCTCCATATTCTGGTTATCCACGGGGCATCGCCAACCATTGCCCGAATACAGATTCTCATGTTATTGGGCTGTTCGTCATTTAGAAACTGATCGTCCCCACAAACGAAATACAGCACTCGATCTTGACGACCATACGCCTGAAAGTTGAGAATGAAATGCCCCGGATTCGCCCACATGAATCTTTTGCTAGGCCTGGTTAGTTGGGTTGCAGACCTAATGCCACATTTTAATGATCAAATTTATGAGACATATTCAAACGATGCAAATGAACATGAATGGGATAGAGCTTGAGTTAGATAGCACTTAAACCATCGATGGAATAAATAGCAGGAGCTTCACGTGGAACATTAAGTGCGAAAATGCAATCTAATTCAGTAGTAGCTTGCAAGGATATGAATATATGCAGGTCTGAGGCTTAGGTTGTTCAATTCGCTCCAAAATATCTATTCGATTGGGCTTTGTATCTCATCATCTCCAGGGCTCCATCGAAATCGGAACAAACATTGCAAACACATTTTTAGCAGGAAAAGATCCAGATCACCAATCACGAGAGACCAATTCACGAATTCCACATCCTCAGCAATGTCAACTAGGAGATTATCAACACTATGGGCGCGCGAGATTCGCGGGTCCCAGAACCTCTGCCTTTCCAGATCTGCTAGTCGCAGCCCGATAGCATTGGTGTCCGCTTCCTGCGCGTCTACGGAGCAGCCATTGAAATCGGTCACCACTCGATCATATTCGCAAAGCAAGGTCTCCGACTTGGCCAAGAACTTCTCCCGGAGACCCGGAAATGCCGCCGAGACTTATGTCGCGTATGGCATGACACAGAAGCTATTTGAGGCCTGTTCCAGCCAAGCGGATTACAAGATCCCCCAAGCGTCGCAAAAGGGAGCAGAGGTCCCGAAAACAGAAGCTGGTGAGGATCTTGGTGTTGGGGAGGGTTGGTGGTATAAAGGTAAGAGAAGCCTAGCGGTCTCTGGCTTGGGCTATGATCTGGTTTGAAGATAACAAGCTAATTTCGGGGGTTGCTGAAGAGCTCGGCCTCTTGCCAACTTTTTCTACATGGTCCCAGGTGACTTTCCTCCACATGTACCTCTTGACGGTTCGCCTTCGTGCCCTGCCCCATCGCGATAGCGTCACTACCTATTCACGCCACTTGATCGATCACTTTTCGCATGAAGCAGAACACCGCATGGACGCGTATCATGATTTGGGTAGTCGCACTATTCGCAACAAATACCTGAAGGATCTGTTCATTCAGTGGCGTGGAATCATTGCTGCATATGATGAAGGGTTGGCCAAAGGCGATGCGGTGCTGGGCGCCGCTGTCTGGAGAAACCTCTGGAAGGGAAGTCAGACCGGACCGGATGGGAAGGAAGAAATTGACTGGGCTAAGGTTGCTCAGGTGGTGGCCTACATGCGCCGAGTCTTGTCGGAGCTATCAAAGAAGGATGAAGTGGACCTCGTTTTCGCTCTTGGGCGTGGCGACCAAAAGACCGCTGGTATCTTTGGGTACTCGGAGACGGACAAGAAACTTGTTCAAGCGAACAAATGAGGGGATATCCTTGCATAAGTGAGTGGTTTGCATTTGATTATAAAAACATGTACAATATTTAATTGCTCTACTCTTTTTACTCTTTTTCCATATGAACTTTTATTGTTGAAGATAACGACACGGAAAACAAATCGGTGAGCATTGACTGTCTACCTACTTGAACAAAATATGACAAGGAGGTAAAGGTCTAGTTATCTTTCTTGCCAAACAGGTCTTTCTCCACCATGCCTCGGCAGATAGGATGATAAAAGTCCTTATATTTCTCGAAAGTTGCGAGGGCGACAGGGCGATTGATCTTCTGGAGATTGCGGAACCTAAAAGAAAAGGGTCAGTGTCAAGATGTCAAGAACAGAGTCTGCGATCAGGACGGGGGCATCTTACAAAGGTCGGACAAACTTCATCCGTCCAATGCGGCCCAGCAAGTCGGTGGTTGGCTCAATGACGCTGTCATCTCCTGCTTTCATGCCCACCTGGCAGTAGAGGTTGGAAACCTCGATATTCTCGCTCTTCGTGAAACCGTAGACATCACCCATCAACTTTGAGATTTCGGGGCTGAGAGGTTTCTCTAGCAAGAGCATCTGTTCCAGGAAGACGACCAATTGGTTTGCGGTCAAGCCCTGGATGTCGCTGATCTGAGGCTTGAATGAGGAGTCGGGAAGCGACTGCCATTTCTTGGAAAGTTCATAGACAACATCCACCATCGATGTGTCAAATCTTGGCTTAGGTGGTAGACCTGGCGCATAGAACCACTTGTCCCAGTCCAGTTCATCCAGGAGCTTAGAAGCCTCGGCGTCCGACTTGAAGAAGTCCAGAATCAGTGCTTTGAACTCATAGGAGTCGAGTGATTTGCACTTGAAGGTTGTGAAATACTACAAAGAAGTCAATAGAAGAAACCGATCGAGAGAAGAGAGATTGCGTACGTGAGGGATGAACTTGTCAAACTTTGACTTGCCGACAAGATTCTCAAGGTAGAACAAGAAGTTGAAACCCTTTTCATAAGGAACACTTGAGAATGCGTCGTCGGGATCCTTGCCCTTCAGATCAACGATAAGTTTAGTGAACTCATGATCGTCACCAAAATGCTCGACAGCGTCAGTCAGAGACTTCCACCCAATGATGGCCGAGAAGTGGCGATAGGCTTCGCCGTGAATGGCAGCCAAAATCCTTCTTTCAAGGTAGACGGTCCAGCCTTCATTCAACCAGAAATGCTCCCATGAGGCATTGGTAACCAGGTTACCACTCCAGCTGTGAGCCAATTCGTGTGCAATGACATCGATGTTCTCACGGTCCTAGGCCTATTAGTTATGGTCCATCTAACCATTGTACAGAGTATACTACGTACCTTCGAGATGATACTCGGGGTTGCAAAAGTGAAAATCGGGTTCTCCATGCCGCCATACGGGAAACTGGGGGGGTAGGATCAAAACGTTGTACTCGCCCCAGGCATAAGCGTAAACGATTTTCTGTGTGAAGTCAGAATTGGCCATTGATAGTTAATATGAATAGAGCATAGACTGTGTACCTCGATTGTCGTGATGAAGTTCTCGGTATCAGCCTCGAGCTCCCATTTGCACTCTTCCAGCTTATCAGGGCTGGTCGCAACGACACTCCGGGGTCCGATTGGAGCCTCGGCGACATCACTGTAGAGTTCTGCGTTAATGAACAGTACCTTTCCGAGAATGGAGGAGTTCTTACCCGCTAGCAATAGCAAAGAGATAGCTGGGGATTGGCACCGACTGGTGGAATCGATACAACTGGTGATCCGCCTTTGACTCCATGGACGACTTGCGAATCGGCAGACCGCTGGTCATGACAGGGAGCGGAGAGGTGATGTTGAAGTCAAAGGTAGCTTTAACATCCGGAGTGTCCTGACAAGGGAAGATAGACCGCGCGTGAATTGCCTGGCATTGAGAGACTAGGCAATCTTTGTCAGCTACTGGGGCTCCAAAGAAGAAGCTCAAGATAATGACATACACATGTATGGATGTTTCTTGTTTGAGGTTTGCGCAGGCGTCAGCCACTGCAACGCGGTGCACTTGTCGGTGGTTTCCACCTCGATCTAAGATGTTTGAGTGAGATAGAGGCTCCATGGAGGAGAATTGCAAAAACATACATCAACCTCAACGGTACCATTCAACTTGATGGGCTTATCAAGGATGATTTTCAATGGCACACCATAGGGCTCCAGCGGGGGAGAAACTTCCATTTGGAAGGCTGGCCATCCACCTTCACGGTGCCAATGTCGAGATGGCTGGTATCCAGGATAATCTCCTGGGACTCACCATCGGTGATTGACTTGAATTGATGGACGACATTTCCCACTAGCTTCTTCTGGTCGAACAGAATATCGAAATTGGCCGTGATATGGGTGGAACGCCAATTGTTGTAGTTACTCACGGTGTTCGGATCTCGCGGAGGGTTGATAGTCGCCATAGTTCGAATTGAGGTGAATTGCAGCTTGATAGAAGCCCGTACTAAATTGAAGTTCAAGTTCCGAGTCAAGGAACGACCTAAGGTGGGATTCATGGAGGAGGGAAATTTCTCCCCCCATCAGCCCATCTGGCCATTTCCCATTTCCCCCATTTCCCCGTCTCTAAGCGTCAACTTCATAAAGTGCTGATATTGATGCTTATATTTATATATTTGTATATTTATAGACATTTTATATAAAGTATTGACTTTGAATTTTCTAATATAAACATCTCTTTAATTCTACTGCAATCACCTACCTAGGTAGCTTATTATATCCCTGTATAGAGGCCTGCGCTAGGGAGAACTCCCCTTTTTTTCCTCTTTCTCCCTTGAGAATCCAAATTCCAGAATCCAAAATTAAGAATCCTCTTTATTTCCTTCGAATCTTTACTCTCATCGCTATATCCTTCCGAGGTCTCCGTTTCTTTTTTTCCCCGTCCACCGCCCGGCACGGGAACCCCCTGAAGGAGTTCCAAAGCCCCTGACGAACTTGAACTCGACCTTCAAAAGTGACGCCCTTCTGCAGATTCAACAGGTTCTTGTGCTTTTCACGCACATTTTGCGTGGCTGACGGGGGAAAAAAATCCTATTTGTGAGTTCGGTCCTTGATCTTCAATGCGCATGATTCCTGATCATTCTAGGTCAATTGAAAATAATGTCTCTTAGCCTACTGTTTTGAAACCCTCGAGCTCTCCCAATTACGAAGCTATGTATTGAGACGGATAGGGGGTTTTCAAAAACCAAGGATATTCTACGAGACATATGACCACATCAACTCTCCGAACTTGCGAAGAATGAGCGAAGACATACAGGACCTGGTTGCAGATACCCATTTCTCTCTCCTATTGTGCTTGTCTGGTGGCGCGTAGTTCCTGGGAGGTACACAGACACAGACACACTCGATATATTGCATTTCCGACATCTAATCGACCGCTATTCCGCCGTTTTGCAAAATGATTCACCACACAGCAATCGATGATGACCCCAATTCCTCCTACCTCAGACGTCCTTCGGGTCCCTTTGCATCGGAACCGCCATCTGGACCGCCCCATAACCGACCTTCCTCTCGTTCGTCCCGGCCTAGTTCTCGGACTCGAATGATAAAGCCGCCAGGTGCGGTCACACCCACTGGCCTCGGTGTGCTTACGGAGAATGTGGCAAACTTGTCCCCGGAGGGTCTTGGAGCGACCAGTCCTATCAAAGAAGGGCTAGGCAGTTTAAATCGCTGGTCCCAGTCAACGGCATCTAGCAAAAGTCCCTCGGAGTACATCGGTCACCATCGTCGAGGGAGCTCGAAAATGTCCATGTCAGGTTACAACCGTGGACGGGGGAGTCACAGCCCCCAACGTGCGCAAGGGCTGAATGGGTCTCCGATGCTCGATCTGCCGGAGCTGGAGAAGTCTGCCATATACGACCATGAGTCAACATCACAACAACTCGATCTCTCATTTGCGGCCTCGAGCCATCTTTTTCAGCCCTCAACACATAGCATCAAAACAGATGTACCAGTTGCTCGGTCCAGTGGAGGGTCCATCTCCTTAAATGACGGGGAAGGAGACCCGGCGGCCATACAACATGGACAGACCCAAAAGGTCATGCTGTCAAAGGCACTTCAGAAAGCAAATACGGCAGTTCTTCTTGACAACGCTGCCAATTTTGAGGGTGCCATGGAAGCTTATACCGATGCTTGCAACTTGCTGCAGCTTGTCATGGTCCGTAGCAATGGAGGAGACGAAGAGAAACTCAAGCTTCAAGAAATTCGCGACACATATATGCTCCGGGTCACGGAGCTTCATCGTATGGACTTTCCTCTCCCGGAGAGCGACGACAAAGCTCTTCCAGATCGGCCCCTCAGCCAAGAGTCATATGGAGAATTGCTTCGCTCGACAAATGACGGATCCCATATTGAGAGCCACCAGAACTCGCCTAATTCCAGCTTTGGGTTCCACCAGATCCCACTGGAAGAGGCAAAGGGATTTTCTCTAGAAGCGGTTCCCCTCGACGACAATCCTTGAAACCGTCTGCCTTGGAAGATCAACCCCGACATATAACATTGCCGGCGGGCAACCAGGAGGGTACTAATGAATCCACTTCATGGTTAGACACGATTGATGAATCGGGTGCTTCATCACCCTCCTCGGCAAACTCTAAGGCGTCATCGGTGTACCTGCGTCGCCGGACAAGCCGTCGCCTCAGTAATGACACAGAGGCTGAGTTTGATGCGGCCCTCGATGCGGCCGTAGAAGCTGCATATGATGAAAGCCTGGAGCCTGTGCCGGAGCACAAAGAGGAAAGCGATGATGTGGTGTCAAATGCTCGCAGGAACATCCAATTAGCGAAGCAAAGAGTACGCGAGGCAGAACAGGAAGCAGAGGCAATGAATCGTGATCGTGAAATGCGCCGGATCCAGGAACAGGCAGCTTTGGGGCACGACTCCATTGCCCGTACTTCGGCATATCTGGACGACGAAGCAGAGGAAGAGGAGCGCTTGCTAGAAGAGATGACCAAGGGCTACGTGATGGACGACTTTGAGTTCGGTATTCAGTCCAAGTCGGCACTCCCTCGAGAATCGGATTCTAGCAACATGTCTGGGCGGACTTGGGAAAGCTCCGCAACGTCCAATGCCGCAAGCATTGGCGGCGCACTGTCTACGCTTGAAGAGGATGATGTCTTGCCACTAGACGCCCTAAGGCCTGAGCCATATACCATGCCCTCTTCTCCTCCATCTTCAGCTTTGCCACCCCTGCCAGCGTCATCCGACTTTCCGGCTCCTTCAAAGCGAGCCTCGATATCAAACCGTGCTGGTTCTATCGGCTCACTCGCCTCTTCTACAGGTCCAGGAGTGCGGGCCCGGAGACTATCCAGTCAGACTCGCGAGCTTAAAATCGAGACCAATACCCGTTCCTCTCGCGCTAATTCCAATGCGTCATCGGCCTTGGAAAATGTTGCAACCCCACTGGCAAACCGCCCGCCACCGTTGCCGAAAGATGAACCTTCAGTTCCTGGGGCCCGTTCCACTTTACACCCAACACAACGCAACCCGTCGGTGGGCTCTGTTACTGACCACGTCAATCTTTCCAAAGCTCGTACTCATGAAGATGATGAAAACGAACTACCACCCCTGCCGCTGTCGGCGCGGCCCATGGGCAAAGTACCCTCGGCTCCAGATGGATTGAACAAACTCCACTCAAATACAAAGCCTTTCCGAGCTCGCAATGCCTCCGTTCCGATTCAGATCCCTGATATGTGCCCAGAATCCCCAAGCTCCCCGTGGAGCGGTGCGTTCCCTGACACTCAAAGGGGCGCCACTAGCGGCGTCCCTGTTTTACCCACACCGACCCTAGCGAACTTTAACTTCAATCAAAATGGACTGCCAAGCGGCGGATTAAACCTGTTTGGTAGCAACATTCACTCGCCCACAGCTCTTGGCCGTCCAAATTCGTTGGTGGCCAATGCCCCGCTTCCTCTAGAGCCATGTCCGGAGTGTTTCCTTCTCCGCCCATTTTGGCTAATGAGATGTCTCTACCAGACACTTGCACATCCTCACGGTGGCTATCTGTCAGAGAAGCTCTTTATTCCTCGAGATGTCTGGCGCGTGAAAAATGTCAAACTAAAGGCCCTCGAAGAAAAAGTGTCCAACTGCGATCTTCTGACTGCTGCCCTCCTCAAATTGGCGCAGGTCGATACATATGATGCGGATGCGGTTCTAGAGGAGATGCAGTCGTTTGATACTATACTCGACCAAGTTCAGGTTACATTGACTAAGAAATTGGGCAGTGATGTCGGTGTCCAGACATCAATGCCATTGTTTAAGCCTGCTTCCACGCCGGATGAACCCGTTCAACCGGACGTTGCGCCAAACAAGTCATACTTGACATGGAAAAGATTACGCGCAAAAACTTCCGGGCTTGGGACAACCACTCCGGTCCCAAGTGCTCGAGAAAGTAACAAGGACAATTTACTCCTCAATTCTGTCCCGATGACATCTGTACATGGAACACCTGCGAAGCGCAATGTTAGCCAGCTTGAATTCTCTGGGCCCAACGCGAACTATATGGGGGCGTTGGCGCGGCTTTTCGATGCCGCGCAAGTGCTAGGTAAGACTTTTCTCGTCTGTATGCTTTGACACCGTTCTAATCCATTACCAGAACAAATTGCTCAGCAGGTTGAAGACCCTGGACTCAAACATTCGTCTAAAACCCATGTTGGTCTGGAGCTCAGCACACGACATGCTGCTGAATTCTTTGGCTTTTACATTTGTCGGTTCGCATTGGCCGATGTGGGCTTGATGCTCGACAAGTTCATCAAGCGAGGTAGCGAGTGGGTGTTGGTTTAGGAAGTATATGAAGCCATACGATAATTATCCCCCCCCCCCCGAGCCAAAGAAGGTCGGGGGTTTCCTGCATCTCTTTTGATATTTCTGATGTCCATATTTGATCTCCCCACGTCCTTTGAGATACCATGATTTTAACCCGTGAGATATTTGATGATTTAAGAACATAATTGTCATGAGAAGGGAATGTATTTAACGCTGTTTGTTTCTTGCTCATATAAACTGTTTATTTGGTGATCTTGTCTCAGCGCGAGCTCTAACGACACACTCTAATGCATATTACACACACCTTCAATCCAATTCTTTTAGTACTTACAATCATACTGTGTTCGTGTTCCTATATACAAGGATCTTTATCACCCTTCAGCGGTAAATCATCCAGCCATTCAACGATGAGCTGAGATCTAACACAAGTCCTCTCAGAAGTGTGCAGTTCAAAGGCACATATTGGCCGATCGAAGACAAATCTGCCGTCGTGTCTCTGCGTCTCGGATAATCTCGGCTGACAGTTTCAGGCTAGGTGCTAGGTGTGCATACCTCTGTACCTCGTTTACCACTCCCGCAATGATTGCATCTATCTGTGCAACGGGAGGGAGCAGGATAGAGAGGGTAGGGGACATTGTGGCGCCCATTATCAGCAACGTCTGTGATACCATTGACAGGGCACCCTGCCACAGATACGGAAGGTGGCCTTCTCGGTGGCTGGTTATATGCTCTAGCTGACGGAGTGTAGCATCCAGACATCGCCGGCAACACTCTTTCACCCCCGGGTCCGCTCCAGCCTGTTCATTCTCAAAAACAGCCAAGATATATGGACGATATATAATGGTACGGCATGCATTGTAACGAAGCCTCAGCACCGTTTGAACCGGATTGGAAAGAGGCTTTGGGGTCAAAGGGAATTGCACGGGCGGGGGAGGCTCTCGTACCACTGAGATAGCTGAAAGTCGAGCTCTGAGACAATCGGACCCAATGAGGCGAGAGTGTGAGTGCTGTCTTTCTGATAAATGATGTGGCTGACGCGGTTGAGAAGTCTTCGTAGCGCAATCTCTGCCAGGAAGTACCACAGTTCGTCACGCCGAACAACCAGCTGAGAGTCCACCGGGCGTGATGAACCCTGATATTTCCTGGCTATTCGGCGTTCTTCGCCCTCATTATGATCCCTTTCTTCCTCGTCTCCATCGTCCTCATCTTCTTCCTCAAAGCCACCTGGCAGATCCACGAGTTCTTCAAAGTTGACAATGCCAGAATGCGGGAGGTCTAATTCTGCGAGAAGGTCGCTTTCAAACAACAAGGCGTTCCAGTATACCCGCACACTCAGCTCTCTCCACTGGCTCGGAATTCGATTTGGACTGCCAAACAACAACTGCAATTTCATGCTCACGCTGGACAGCAAGGTCCAGGCTTCCAGGGGCCGCACTAGATAGAACAGGTAGGCAGAGGCCATGACCATGCACTGCGCCGCAATCACAGTATTTCGCATCATAACTGACGGTAAGAAGCTCCATGCAGCGGCAAAATAAGGAAGTCCCGGCGGTTCTCGATCTGGCGACACAAACGAGATACTGCCACTATGGCTGGCGCTTCCTAGGGCCAAGACCAGAAGAACAAGACAACTCATAGGTCCTTCCTGGAATCCTTGCGCGAGGGCTGATTGATAATATCGATTCCACGTGTAAGGGTTCACGCAGGCGTACCAAACGTTCCCATAGTTGAAAAAAGCTTGGGCATAAGTGGATGCATTTGTCAAATCAAAGCCTGAATTTGGAGTCAGCTGCAATGGTTCGCGGGCCATCTCCAATTGAAGAAGATGCTGTGGGTCACAGGCCCCAGAGACCAAGTCCCGAATTAGGGGCCACTGGAGGAGATGAAGAGCGGGAGTGGTATGCATCTTGGGCATAGTAGAGATGCTTAGACTGGCGGGGAGGTTGACCCAGGAACCGAGTCCAACAGCAGACAATTTCCCATGTACAGGCAAGCCGCTGGATGATGTTTTCGATGGCGGATCGTCGCTACCGAGGGTTGTATCGTTGCTGGTGGCCGGGGAAGTAGCGGACAAGGCTAACTGTGGCCCTTGGTTTGGTAAATTCGAATGCAACAAACTCTCAATTCTGGCCAAATGATCTAGGATGAGCTTGTCGCCCGCGTCGAGTTTGATACCGGGTTCTCGATAGACACATTCCGCATTCAAATCGGCGCAGAGTTGACACTTGGGACGAGCCCCATTGCATCGGGTCTTGCGTAGCCGGCATATCTGACACTGAATCAAAGTCAAAGCTGCCTTGATCAAATGTGCCAGAGACTCTTACAGCTATTGTTGCCCGTCTTCTGGGATATTCAGCGGCTTCTGTATTCGAGCGCTTTTTCTTGCCGATAGATGTGTCGCTAACTGCATAGTCCCCTATGGGGTCTACCGTCTCGTTTTCTGGGGGCAGAGTCATTGTTCCAGACTGAGATTGATTGCAGTTGTATTTAATGTTGCATTCCACTCCAAACCGAGGGGTTGGTCGGCATGACGGGCATCAGACCATACTTGAAGATGAGTAGAGACAAAAAAGAGGGATATCCAAGAAGTAATCCGGAGAATTTGTGGGCACAGGCATTAATGTATAATGTAAGGCTGGCCTCTAATAGAGCTCCGTTCCAGTCTTTCATGTGTTCGTTGTATGATAATTGGCCTAACTTGATACGGGGTTGATTCCGTGGCAGGTTGAGCATACAACCCCTGCAACTGTGACATTGGAGGGGAAAATGCGAGACAATAAAAACAATAAAAGTACAAGCAAACTGGTAGATATGTAAATATATATAGGAAATATATATAGACCGAGTAATATATGTTGGTACATACTAGGTAGCTCTTTGTATTGTCGACATCGAGTTTGATGTCACATGTGGTCCACGTGCACGCGTCCCAAACAAACGCGTCGAATCTTCTTTCGCATTTGTAGCGCAACCACTTTGGCTCCATAACATACACCCCGTTGGTTCAAAACAATCGTTCAAACATGCCTCGTCCAGCCCCCAAACGAAGTCGCACAGCGGGGAAGAATCAGCCCAAAAACACCATAGGAGACTCAACACAACAAATTGACCCCAATGTCGCGAAATCGCCTGTGCAGCCCGAGCGAGCCCTGGATCCGAGACAGGCCCTACGCAGTCAAACACCCTTGACCAAAGGCCATGAACAAGCAATTGAATCTTCACCCACGGGTGACCGGCCAGGCACCGGCAGTCGACCTGGAACTGGCAGTCGTCCCCCTACAAGATCGCGCGGTTATTCCTCTACGCTATCATTCGCTGGACGCAAAGGCGACACGAACTCCCGGGTTCCTGGGACGCCTGGATTCGACAATTCGGTTCTGAGCAACTTTAGGCGGCGGCCGCGACAGCAAAGCATTCTGCAGATGATGCAAGCCGACGACGATGGCTCTTCCGATATTGATGATGATGACTTCCTTGGTGGGCTTAGCCCCAATGATGAATCGACACCACTGAACCTCTCTCGGGGAAAATCGCTACTTATCAAGCCAACGGACAAATCATCCCCGTCACCATCCGAATCCCCGCTCTCGTCCGGCGGATCGCGCAAGCGCAAGCGCATGACCCAAGAGATTCAAGTACCACAGTCGCCTATTGATATGGTAGAAGATACTCCAACTGCGACCCCGATTCGACACGGCGACTCTCGACATGATATTGGAGACGAACTTCCTGAAGATGAGGATGTTGAATCTGAGGGCGAGGAACTTGGAGATCAGGAGGTTGATGTCGAAAGAGTCGAGGCTACACCGCAATCCCAAAGGTTACCAGAAATATTAAGCCAGACTATGTTACCACCGGCCAGCAGCCCTGCTGGTTCCGTTACACCTAGTGACTCCACGCCGCGACCTGTTCAGAGGAAAAAGTCCAAAGCCCCGAGTCATCTATCGACAGCAAACCTGCAAGACAAGCTTTTACCACGTCGTCGGCGCAGACTCCGCACCATTAATGATTATAGCGACGAGAGTGATGATCAGCACGATGCTGCATCTGGTGACGAGGACGAGTTGAACTACCCATCACAAAGATCATCCGGGCGAAGGGCAGGGAAAAGCAAACCCAAACCATTAGCCAACACCCGCAACCCGAAGCAGAAGAAGATTAAAGAGAAGAAAACCAAGGACAAATCGTCAAAAGAACCAGCTACGTATTCAGGTTCTCGAACGAGTGGTGTCAACAAAGAAAACGAAACGATTCTGTCATCGCCATCATCTTCTCCTTTGTCATCACCACCTGAATCCGACGTTTCTGATTCGGAATCTGTGGAAACAGAGGCCACTCGTTGCGTGAGCGATGAGTTGCGCGCTGCCGTCAAAAAGTTTGCGGAAGTGGATCAATGGGAGATGGAATTCGAAGATGTATCTGCTTCAGAGAGCTAGTCCCGGAGAGATTGAAAGCCAAATAATCCGACTAATCCGACTAATCCGAATAAATATGATGTATGTTGTATGTATCTTTCATGTGGATATGTTTTTGGAGTAGCCGCGGAATTTCTTAAGCCCCGCAATGTAACCTCGTCTGCTAGTAAATATTACCTGAATACCCGACAGCTCTTCCTCTTTCTTTCTTCTTTCCCCCTACTATTCCTTCAATATGACTACCGTGGATACCATTCTTGCTGCCAAGTATCCGGCCAAGGCCCATGCTCTTCGTGTCGCTGAGTCTCTTAAGGCCCGCCATGGCGGGGCCGGAGTTATCTACCTTGAGGCTCAAAAAACTCGACTGATCGAGGATAGCGACGAGGATATGCCATTTAGGTAATGCAGCATTTCTATGGAATCTGGATTTGACACTAACCCTGGTCTAGGCAACGTCGTCCTTTCTTCTATCTCACTGGATGTCTTTTGCCCAATGCCGCCGTGGTATACGATGCCGTCAAAGATGAATTGACTTTGTTCATTCCACCAATTAACCCAGAGTCGGTCATTTGGTCTGGTCTTCCTCTGTCTCCCGAAGAGGCTGCGGAGCTCTACGATGTGGACCGTGTGCTGTTCACAACCGATGTGAATTCGACTTTGGCGTCGATCGCCTCGAGCCACAATGGACAAAGTGCTGCTTTTGCAATCGCCGAGCATGTGTCAGAGGGCACAATCTTCCAGGGCTTCGCTGAAACAAACACCACCAGCTTGAAGACTGCCATCGAGGAGACTCGTGTCATCAAGGATGCGTACGAGGTTGCGCTTCTGCGAAAGGCAAACGACATCTCGACCAAAGCGCACGTCGCTGCTATCCATGCCTCCAAGACCGCGACTAACGAGCGTGAGATTGAGGCTGCCATTATCGGCGCTTGCATTGCTAATGGATGTCGCGAGCAGTCCTATCACCCCATCGTTGCTGGAGGTGAGGGGGGGTGCTACTCTTCACTATGTTAGAAATGATGTCGACCTGGTCGACCCTATCACTAAGCAGCGGAAGAATAATGTTCTCATCGATGCTGGCGGTGAATACCAAACCTACTGCGCCGATATCACGCGTGTTATTCCTCTGAATGGAAGGTTTGCGCCTGAGACCCGTCAGATTTACGAGATTGTCCTCCAGATGCAGACGGAATGTATCGCGATGCTCAAGGAAGGCGTGTGCTGGGATGATGTACACGCGCTGGCACATCGCATTGCCATCCGTGGCTTGTTGAAGCTGGGTATCCTACGCGGATCCGAGGACGAACTGTTCGAGAAGCGTGTCAGCGTGGCCTTCTTCCCCATGGTCTCGGTCACTACCTGGGAATGGACACTCACGATACCGGTGGTAACCCCAACTATGAGGACAAGGATACCATGTTCCGCTACCTGCGTGTTCGCGCTAACCTGCCTGCTGGCTCTGTGGTCACCGTTGAGCCTGGTGTAAGTACTACCCCGTGAGAACCCTCTTTCCCAATTCTTATTATTTACCAGATTTATTTCTGTCGCTTCATCATCGATCCCGTTTTAAAGGCTCCCGAGACCGGCAAGTACATCGATACTGAGGTCTTGGAGCGGTATTGGAGTGTGGGAGGAGTGCGCATCGAAGACAACATCCACATCACCAAGGATGGTTCTGAGAATCTGACAACGGCCCCGAAAAGCATTGAGGAGGTGGAGAGCCTGGCCTTATAAAAAGCAGTTACTCTGCGGACATTAACAAGATTTTGCCCCTGGACAGTTGAAGGAGGTTCATACCAAATTATATGATAAAGGCATCGTTGATCCTCGGATATGTGATGGTACAACTGGCAATAACTAGATGTCTCTTCTGCGCTTGCGCGCACTTCCTTGATCTCATCCACCGATCCGTTCTTCAGCTTGCGATCCAGAATGATAGTCAAGACATCAAATGAAAACTCCGGCACTTCAATGCACAGCTTCTTAAAGTCGTCCCCAACCTCCTGGCGCAGCACGTGGCTTTGGTTCGCCCAGTAATTCGCCACAGGCTTCCGAATAGTAGTATCTGCTGCCGGTGTATGAGTGTATACATAACGGGCATAGGAAAGCTCCGCGTTAGGGGAACTCTGGACCTTATGGATCTTGGCATGGGCGATGCGCTGGAGGTTTGGAAGGCCCAGCTTCTCTGCCAGGGTGTAGATGCGCGCATGGCGCAGCAACTCATCACCGCTTTTGTCGTCGGCTGTTTCCCCAGGTGTTTCCGTTCGAATCACAGTGTAATCACGGGTATATTGGAATTGGAGGAAGCAACTGAAGGCGTCAACATCCTCTTCTGGCAGGGTAATGCGTCTCTATGGATCACGGTCAATTAGTATAAGAGGTGTAGAAATGTACGTGGAACGGATATGAATGAGTGAACGCACGGGTCCTGAAGCTTCGAAGTTGCTAACAAACTCGGCTAGTAGTGGTGCCTCCATCAGGAGGGATTGATGAGCTGTCATAACGGTCTCATCGTCGCCTTTCCCAACGATGATCTCAACGATTGGTGAAGTCAGGAAGCTACGAGTGGTTGTGAGCTGGCGGGTCATAATTGGGATAACGGAACGTGAAGCCATCTTTGAAAAACAGAACGGATTTTTGTCGCGAAAGGTTTAAGGAATGCTCACTCAAGGAAGTTGAAGCCTGCGTTCTTCTTTGCCGGAGCGGGTAGCTCTAGCTCTGCCTGCACATCTGGAAGTGTGGAATCTTGCGCAGGTTCTTCAGGTTGGCTTGTGTCCTGTGTTCCTCCCATCTCTACCTCGGTGGAGTTGTGGTTCGTCGCATTGGCTTCTTGGTTTGATTCAGTTTTGGGGACCCAAACTTGTGGTGTTTGTGGTAAATCCATGGGATAGGTAACGGATATGTATAAAGTGGTAGGGTGGTAAGGTGGTAAGAGAGGAAGAGAAGAGACACCAAAGCTCCAGGGGCTTAAGGCGGAGAAGCACTTCAGGTGACACGAATAGAGCTATCTAGGTATATATAGAATTGTGTATAGAATTTCTACTTTGTCAAGACCTCTGTTTCCTTTTTGTTTGGAAATTATAATATTTTACAATATTTTATACTCTTGGCACTCCGGACTCTTCCTGGATACTCCAATATAGGAACAGCTCCACAGAACGTCATTTGCCGCATTTACCCCATTTACCGCAGAAAACCAGCAGATCTCCCACAGAACTTCAGATTCGAAACAACTCTACAGAGTACGTGATGCAGAATGAAGAAGAACCAGAATCCATCGAGACTGAGCAAGGTCAATACTTGCTCACTGCAGAGGATGCCGAGCTTTTACAGGAAATTCTCAATCACAATCTCTCAAATCAGTCGGGTGAGAAACGGAAATTCAGGTTCCAGGACCTGAATTTCACCCGACAATTGAGTACTTTTCAAAATTTGGGGACGACTGCCCCCCAGTTCCATGGTTTTTTCGTTCTCTTCTGGATGGGGGTGACCCTGATGTTGTTCAGGCTTGCTGCCAATAATTGGAGAACCTATGGCAGCATATGGGGCAAGAATGAGATTATCCGTCTCATGATGGATAAAGATGTCATGGTTCTCGGCCTGACTGACTTGCTTCTTTGTTGGTCCACGGGGTTTTGTCTGATACTACAACGAGTGGTTCTCAAGGGATACGTTCGCTGGAACGGTCTTGGTTGGCTCATTCAGAATGTCAGTCTCAAAAGATTTGCCCCCTAGCACTGTTGCATTGCTGACCTATCCAGATCTGGCAAACTACATATCTTGGAGTCGTTATATGGTGGACATACCATCGCGATTGGCCGTGGACACACACGGTCTTCATCGTATTGCATTGCTTGACTATGCTGATGAAGCAACACAGCTATGCAGCCTACAATGGCTACTGTATGTCAAATTCCGTCCGGTCATTATCAGGAGCTAATGAAGGCAGTATCGGAAATGTATCACAAACGAAATATGCTGAAAGCAAGTCTTGGCCAAACCAAAGCCAAAGAAAGAGGATATGCTACCTCCGCCAAAGCCAAAAAGGGGCACTCTTCTGCAGTCGATACACAACTCAATGCTGAGATTACAGATCTCAAGAGGAAAGACCGTAGTCGGCGCTCTTCTGATCTCCAAAACTATTCTCGATCCCATGAAACCGACCAGCTTTTATCTCTTATTAGAACAATCGAGACCGGTGTGCCACTTGAACCGAACCAGGTTAAATCCCTCCGAGAACTGCTCGAGCAGGAGATCGAGGTCTTATCTGAGGGATTAAAGGGGCGGTGTTCACTGACCAACAATCACTATCCTCAAAACTTGACAATAGGAAATATCTGCGACTTCATGTCATTGCCCACATTGGTTTATGAGCTTGAATATCCCCGGACCAAGAGGATTGACTGGTTCTATGTCGCAGAGAAAACACTCGCCACATTCGGCATCATTGTGGTTATGATTGCAGTCTCTCAATCGTGGATATACCCGGTGGTAATGGACACGGTACGTATGAAAGAGGAGGGAATGACCGCGCAGCAGAGACTTCGGGAATTTCCCTGGGTTCTCGGTGACTTGCTTTTCCCGTTCATGATGGAGTATCTACTGGCATTCTATGTGATCTGGGAATGTGTTGTAAGTCTCTCTTGTCCGCTTTTTGATTTCTTTGCTAATCCCATCTAGCTCAATGCTATAGCCGAGATCACCATGTTTGCAGATCGAGGGTTCTATTCCGATTGGTGGAACTCTGTCTCTTGGGATCAGTTCGCACGGGATTGGAACCGTCCTGTCCATAACTTCCTGTTTCGGCATGTATACCATGGCTCCATCAGCGAATACCGTTTGTCGCGCGTATCTGCCAGTATCATCACTTTTCTCTTATCTGCATGTGTACATGAACTGCTCATGTTGTGTATCTTCCGGCGCCTCCGAGGTTACCTACTAATCCTTCAGATGTCTCAACTACCGCTTGTTGCACTGAGTCGGACTCGCTTGATGCGAGGTCGCCGTTTATTAGGCAATATCGTCTTTTGGCTGGGCATCTTTACAGGGCCAAGTCTGTTATGCAGTTTGTACTTGATCATTTGATTTGATTTGATTTGATACGGGGCCTGGATATCCATGGATAGTCATTGCTTCAAGATATGCGGACAGGCCATGTTCCATAACAATGATAGATACCTTTGAACGCATCCACGTGGCCATAGAGCTATATTGCGCCTGCAGCTTGATTTGGTACATATTATTTATTCAACCTCCAAGATATGAATATCGACATGCGCATATTTACTTTGCCGAATTGGACGAGCACAGACCCTTGTATCGGATAACCCCCACCTTAGTTACCAAGGTATATATATACCCGTGGACCTTCTCCATACTCTCCCTCCCTGAGATCCTTCTTACACACACTCCCCTTATCAACTATTTCGGTTTATATCTAAATGGCGTCCAACCCACCCGCTGCCTGCTGCGCCGTTGGCGTTAAACATGAAGGCGAAGCCAAGGGTCAATTCGAACAAATTGGCGATGGTCCATACAACCCATTCCCTGGAGATAGACTACAGTTTCGCTGACGGTCGCAGTCGAGGTCTACATTTCACGGCCCGAGCGCTCTAACAAGCGTTCCATCCTGTTGCTTACCGATGTAATTGGTCACCGCTTCATTAACGCGCAGCTTATTGCAGACCAGCTAGCGGCAAATGGCTACCTGGTCGTCATGCCAGACCTATTCCACGGTGACCCGGTGCCGTTGAACAACCGCCCTGCTAGCTTCGATCTGATGACCTGGCTAAAAGGCCCCCCAGGTCATCTGCCAGACCGTGTAGAACCCGTGGTCCGGGCGATACTAACGGAAATGAAGTCCAAAATGGGCTGCGAGCGGGTCGGTGCTATCGGATATTGCTTCGGGGTATGTTGCATGTCCCGCATATGCCTTACTGCAGCCCGATTTGACAAATACAGGCAAAATACGCCGTACGACTACTCCAGCCAGGCTTCTGTGATGTCGCCTATGTGGCACACCCCAGTTTCGTCGACGCAGAGGAATTACAAGCAATCAAAGGCCCGCTGTCCATTGCTGCGGCTGGTAAGTTATCATATGATCCGGCTACAGCGTTTTGACTAAACATCGACAGAAACCGATTCAATCTTTCCCACCTCGAAGCGCCATGAATCCGAGGATATCCTGGCCAAAACAGGCCAGCCGTACCAGATCAACTTGTTCAGTGGCGTTGAGCATGGATTTGCTGTCCGGGCAGATATCACTAAGCCGACCATTCGCTTTGCCAAAGAGTCTGCCTTTTTGCAGGCAGTTGCATGGTTTGATCAGTACCTCTAATCGGAGAGACAAATATCTAGCATGGTAACAATAAAGCTTTGATTGAAATCCACACCTGGTTAGATTTCGCCTTGAGAAGCGGCAAATTTACATGTATTGGAGGAGACAAAAAAAGTATGCAATGCCATAATTGGCCAAAGTGAACTGTTGTATTCCTTACATCTTCTCGTGGGTAGCCATAAGGGAACCTGTCATCCGTTAGAAACCGAAACTTCTGCCATACTGACAAGAGTATGCACTTACCAATAAACGTAGTGACCAAACGAGACCGAACTTGACAAATGTCCTCCGGGACCAACCAGATGGTAGCACCCATCTTTCTGGCGATACTGATAGAAAGCTTAGCGTTTGCATATGCCTCCTCATCGGTCCGACCGGGCGTGACCAGATCGTAGTCCACATAGCTACTCTTCATGCCATTGAGCACATCAAGGAGGAAGATTCCAGATCCAATAGACTTGTCTTTGAAGCTGCGTATCGTGGAAGACTTGCCGCCACTGCTAGACATGTCATTGGCCCAGCGGATCATCTCAGTATCAGTAATTTCGCGTTTGCCCAGCCGTTGGGCCAGCGCAGAGAGTGTGTTGGTGATATCACGGCGCATCAGCTGCCACACCAATCCGAGAGTGAGGGTTCGCTGGCCATCAGTGATATCAGCGCCCTGAACACCGACAAGAGAGAAACCATTAAATTTCCCAAGCTCGATCGAATAATTGGTGTTTTCCACGGCCTTGAACCGCATCATTTCACCACCAGACGCTGGTGGCTTGTTGACATGTTTCCAGTTCACGCTTCCAGGGATGACCTTGTCGTATGCCTGCAACAAAATAGAGCCGTCGCGTAGGTCATCGAAGAGCGAGTTGACCGCCGGCTGCACATCCAAGGAATTCAACCACAGAGTAAAGACTCTAGCTTCTCGCTCGCCTTCAGCATCGAAGTCTTCAACTTCGAGCTTCTCCTCCTCGGTGATCGGGTCCAGTCCTGGGTGGGTGTTGAACAGATTGGCGACAAAGGCAAGGTTCAGCTTGGGGTTACCGGCAACCAATGAGGTTGGGGTCAGGAACTTGCGGCAATCAAGCGAATCAGCGTTCTGGAGGACCTGCTCAGCCCGCTCAAGCAAGTCTCGAGTTTGGAGAGGGGCACGCGAGCAAACATCAGGTGCCAACTGGTTAAGGAGAACGGTGTAGTTCTCGCCATCCTTGACATCGGTAGAGAAGTTCGTCACCCTACATCGGTTAGCCACATGTCTTGATTTTCATTCCCCTCGGGCTGGACATACCGTCTGTCCCACTTGGCATTCTTGAGATGATAGTTGAACCAACGAAGGAGAATCTGCTCCGGAGGCAAGCGCAAGAACTGCTCCAGAGTTTCATCCTCGTCCAAAAGCCTATAAAGCTCCGGGTGGAGTTTGATATCGATCTTTCCAAGCAGACCACGGCGGATGATTTGCCAGATGAGACCCAGGATGAGATGCTCGCGCACCTCGATGATATCCCCGCTTCCAATGTTAACAACTGAGCATCCGATACCCTTGGCAGAGTTGATAACAATGTTATTGTTCTCAGTCATGTGGAAAGCATTCAGCTGCTTAATCTTCTTCCCGGCCTTATTCAGAACACGCTCATCAATGGTGTCTGGTACGCTGTCGTTGATCAACTTTGCCAGGACCAAGCCATCCTTGCACTTATCAAACATCTCAAATGTATCGGTGGGGAAAGGTAGGAGGTTGCCAACGTCCGCATCGCCCGCCAGGACGGCATTGATGTGTCGCGTGAACTCGGTTCGTTCGTCTTCGTTGATCGTATGCGTGACATTGGAAGATGATCCCTGGACATGGATTCGTCCACCCACACTGCCTTTGGAGACATGCCGAGATGCCCCAGTGCCAGCGCCGGCCCCTTGAATCACGGCCGCGGGGGTAGTTGCTGCACGGGCACCTTCAGCGGGTGCTGACCGAAGCTTCGAAACGAGCTGCCATAGCATTAATATTAAGATGAGAAAGGGAACGGGGGGAGTTGTATTACATCAACATAATCTTCGAGTTCCACGCGCCTGGAGCTATCGAGTTCCACATCCTTCAAAGCTGCACGCACCACATCATATGGCTGGCGTTCCGATTGTTGAGTGGCTTTGATCACGGTAGTTTCATCAAGGTAGCCGCGGTCTTCGACGTCCAATCTGTTGAATGCATCCTGGAGCGAAAAGATCTCGCCTTGATCAAGCTGCGGAAAGCGCCTATAGTAATCACAGTGGTCAGCATATGATTGTATTGAATGACGAGGAAATGTACTTCTGAAGCTTGAGGGCGTTCATCTTGTCAGAATCACAACCCTGAGGGGGGCAAAATAGGTGGGGTTGATCACCCAGGGAAAGACCGGGTTTCGACAAAAAGGAGAAAGTAGTGTTTACACCTTGCACAGATCAATTGTGAAGAAGTAAAGAAAGCAGATTAGAAGAAATCCGATCCGTGCTAAAGGTGGGCAGTGCAAGGCGAGAGGCAGCCAGGTATACACGAACCGAGGGGGGGGGGGGATGAGCCACAGCACCGGTAATGAAAGTGCTCAGTATGTAATGATACAGGGTACATAACGTTAGGGGTATTATTGTGTGGACGCGTAGGTATCATGTCAGTAATTCTGTGTTCTTGTATTATCGTATTCGGGAAGTTCGAGTGACGTCGACACCTTACATCTTACCTACATAACTAGATACTATGTTACCTATTAGGCACCTTAGGTAGCCACTCTTTTATAACAAGTTGGATATGAAGTATTTCATCTGCCTAATTCGCTTATTCTTCTCTTTCTATGGAATTATCTCGTTCTATCGTTTCCTATATTCTCTCCACAATTGACTAAGGTAAGCCATACAAAATATTATGACATAGGGAATATGACAACTCAGGAGTCCACGGTTTATAATTTCTAACTCCATATATATGTGATTAAAAGATGAATATTTAGAAATAACAGACATATGTTGAATGTGTATATCGGACCGTATAACCTTGGAAACGTGCACGGGTTATCCAACGTAATTGCACAAAACAACGGGATTACATCATTCTCCGATCTCCAAAACATTTGGGCTCATTGCAACTCCAACATTTTATCGTTTTGACGCCTTTTGGACCCCGTCTCTATCTTTCGTTCCTCTTTCTCTTAATATTCCCCTTTCATACCACCCGCACTTTCACCGTTTATCAATTCAGCTGCTCACGTTGGTTCGTCTCACTGCCTTCCGACGGGCACTCCTCCCCATGGCGGGTGCAGAGCAAAAGTCGTTCTTGGGGACACTAACTCCATGGAGTACACCCAGAAGTGCAACCCCAGCACCGCAGCCTAGCGATCCCCCCTAGAACAGGAGTTCTGCAACAATCGCAAGGGGAGGACCACACGGTGACCCACATGCATCGATTAAGCATGCGACGCTATCCTCCCGATTGCCCTCCATTGAAAGTCAGGTGGTTCTACGCAGTGGACTCGCCCAAGCGGAAGCCATCCATTATAGGGCAGAAAAAGGCAGACCAAAAGCCCTTGCCATCGCCGAAGAAATTCATCCCTTTCCCAGGGAAAGACTCCCAGTCCATAGAAACGACGTTTCAGAAACTCTCAGACATCGAAGATGCCCGCCAACAAAACCAACCAAAGGATAGCGAACCTGTATTGACCCAAGTGCCCGTGAATGAGGATTTTCTTTTCAATGTCGATGTGGAACAACGAGAGTTGAGTCCTACCTATTGGATTGGCCCTGTATATGAAGTCCGTCGTGGGACGTGGTTCATTCAGGATGGATCTAGCCTGAAACCATGTGAAGAAAACCTTGCTACCCAGCTTGAAGAAGGCTATATCAAATTATGTCCATGGAGGTCCCAACCTTCAGAACAGAACACGCAAACAAACGAAGAAGACAGATCTGGTCAGACCAAAAGAGTTCCAATTGACACCAACGAACCAGATGCCAAGCCCCCTCAATCAAGAGACCTGAACTCTCCTCCCGTGGCACAGGGAATGATTTCAACAGTCCTGGCCCTGCAGTTGAGCCCCAGCAGTATCGTCTCTTTGGCGCTTACATGAATAGAATAGTCGGGTATCAAGATGCCACGACGGCCTGGCTGATGAATGATGATTTTATGTCACGTTTTAGTACTTCGGTGTATCAAAAGCTAGGAGGCGTTCCGGGAACGAAGTTGGTTCGTGGCTTCGAACCCAGGAAGCCAAAAGAGACGCCGGAAGCAAAGGGACCGAAGCAAAAACCACTGGGCGAGACAGTACCTGTCAGAGGTTTGGATGAGGCCTTGAAAGAAAAGACTGAAAAAGCCACGGATACACTCAAGTCAACTTCCGCTGATGGATTCGAAGACTACGAAACTAGACCGAAATCAACATTAGAACGCCAAATGTCCTCCCTCGCCGGCGAGCCGCAAAATCCAGCTGATCTCGAAGAACAGGCTCGTAGGCAGGAGGAACAAGAGATGGAGGAGTCGAGGGAAGTGGACGGCACAGACAGAGAGCGCGAGGTCGATCATCTAGTTCTTGTCACCCATGGAATTGGCCAGCGACTCGGTTTACGACTGGAAAGCATCAATTTCATACATGATGTAAATGTGCTTCGCAAGACGCTAAAAACTGTCTACAAAGGTTCCCCTGACCTTCAAGCGTTGAATTCAGCGTTCCCAGATAGCGATAAGAATTGCCGTGTTCAAGTGCTTCCTGTGTGAGACTGACTCCCTTGCGTGGCCTTTCTTTCTTGCTAATTTCAGCAGGTGTTGGCGCCATCTTCTAGATTTTCCTTACCGAGGAGTGCGACAAAACAGAAAAGAACTGGATCTGACTGATGCGGACGTTCTTGAGGACGATGCTTACCCCAGCCTGTCCGATATAACACTGGAAAGCGTACCTGCCGTTCGAAACCTCATTTCAGATTTGGCTATGGATGTACTTCTGTACCAAAGCGGGTATTGTGAACACATCTCCAATATCGTCATCCAAGAATGCAATCGAATCCTCCGGCTGTACCGCAAGCAAAATCCTTCTTTCAAGGGGTCAGTCAGTCTCTGCGGCCATTCGCTTGGAAGCGCAATTCTATTTGACATCTTGTGTCACCAGCCGGAAACCAATACTGGTCAAAATGCTGCCTCCAAGGGAATGGCCCGAGAGAGCGACGACTCAAACCCCAAGGGTTCAAGTGGGTTTGATTTTGACTGCGAGGAGCTTTTTTGTCTGGGATCCCCTATTGCACTATTCCAGATGCTCAAGGGTAAGACAATTGGTGGATACTCTGCCGTGAATCCCCGAAATCGCAAAAATGCTTTGGATGTTGAGATTGACTTGGACTTGCATGGTCCTGGGCATGCGCTCAGTGACAATCCCGGTATTATCTCACTGCCAAAGTGTCGAGACTTCTACAATATCTTCCACCCTTCTGACCCAGTCAGCTACCGGGTCGAGCCTCTGATATCTCCAGCGATGGCAACCCTGAAACCTCAGCCTCTACCCTCGGTGAAGAAAAGCCTCTGGACGACCTCTGGTCAGAGTCTATCTATTCTCGGTAGCCGCATGGGCCAAAGTGTGGGATCCCTGTGGACAAATTTCACCACGGGTGTCGCAAGCAGCTTGTTGAATCGCAGCTTGGGTCTGAATGGCGATGAAACCACATCGGCTGCTCGCACTTCTGGTAAACCGGGTGATGAATCGACCCATAGACGGTCACAATCGGGTTCAGTTCAGCATGGGCCCGATGGATCCGATGATCACTATCAGACATTGATTGAATCTGATCTGGAGACTCTTTACGATGGTTTCCAAAAAAGCAGGAGTGTCCATCATGGCGAGAGTCCAGATCCCGACGCCGATACTAACCAGGATCGGAGGCTGAAATTCGAGGACGCTAAAGTGCGTGCCTTGAATGCAAACGGTCGTGTGGACTACAGCATCCAAGAGTAAGACACTATGCCCTACATTGCTGAACATTATTAACCGGGATATAGGGGGGCCTTCGATATTTCATTAATAGCCAGCATTGCCAGTCATCTCACCTATTGGGGAGATGAGGATGTCAATCACTTCATGCTTTCCCAGATGCTTTCTAGAGGACAGAGGCATAAACACAAGCAAAAATATAGATGAAACAAGTGCGAAATACATTACGCTATCTAAAGAGGCATCAGTATGAGGTACTTACATATGTACAACATAGGTAAATGGATGCTACCTACCTACCTAGGTAGGTGTAGGTCCCGGCGTACCCCGGTGAGTCCTTAGTAAGCCCATATCTCGCCCGAGTCGGACTAGCGTCCCTGGAGGTCGGCTAAGCATTAGGTAATATGGAATTCCCCTACAAAATCTTTTGTTTTTCTGTCTTTTCCTTCTTTCTATGTCCATCTCTCATCAGGACCAACTTTAGGATGTTGAAAAGCTCCTGGAATTCATTCTTACCTGGAGCCTAATTCTATAAATTTCTTCTTAATGAGGTTGAAATTTATTGGACCTTCACGGAAGTGAACACCGACCTTACAATGGACACCGCAAGAGGACTGATATATCAAGTATGTCCTGGCATGATGAGATTTTGGGGTCATGGTCACCCCTGTAGAGTACTTCCCTTTCTCCCAACCGCAATCTCTTTACATCTGGCATGAAGCACATGCTCTTTGAATGCTCAGATTCACTCGGATAGCGGAGATCAACTCCTTTCTGTTAGCTTTAGATTCCTTGCTATATAGCTCATGCTTGTAAGGAAATCATGATTGGATACATAAGAAAATATATGCATACATATATCTATTTAGCTATAATTTGAAACTCGGTACTCCCATACTCAATTATTCTACTCCGTACTCCGTATTTTTCCCAAGGCTATCGAATACGAGTACGAGATACGCACTGGCCAACAGAGTACGCCAAGCATTTTCCAATGTTGCTATCCCCGTATCTTCTTGTCCTTATTGTTCCACGCCAAAAGTTGTCTACACAGATCTATCTACAAGGTCATATTTGAGTCTGGACATGGAGGATTGACTACAATTACTCTGGGAACCCTCCAAATCCGGCATATCTCAGCACAATGAGTCGCCTCAGTGATGATGCAGACTCCCAGGTCATTTCAGCATCTCCATCCAAAGAGCACCCGACACAAGACCGCATTTCGAATACAGCGATTTCAAAAGAGTTCATCAATGCTACCCTCGATTTTCTCTCAACCTCTACGAATGAGACCCTCCTTGGAGTCTTTGCGCTTCTTGCAATCGTCACCTACATTGTCCTTGGGAGACTCGGTCTGCTTCTAATTGGAGTGGTTCTGGGGGTTATCCTGCACGCGTCATGGGAGGGATCGGATAATGAATACTCAGATCAAGCGTCGCACGCGCAAAAGCCCAACAGGCGTAGAGAGCTTGCGCTAGAAGTCTCCAACAGGCTTTTGGACTGGCCTAAGCGGGCTGATGCTTTAGACATCCAGGGAGGAGACGATGGCTCTATAAGTACGCTTGAAGACATGTCTTCGGCAGACTTGGAATATGTCACCTTCCGACCGGCCACCGCTGACGCATTGAGAACTCTCACCGATGCAGTCATTAAAGACTATGTCAAGTAAGTATCCTTCATCTATGCCTCCCTCTCCCACCGTGAAACAAGTAAAATAGCTTACCCCAAATAAAGATACTGGTATGAGCCACTTTTGCCGTCGGAATCAAGTTTCCCACACTCCTGTCGACGAATTTTGACTCATTTCATTACATCAATATCTTCGCACCTCTCGCGGAAACGAACAGAGGACACATTCTTGCAGTTTCTCACCAACTCCTCATCTATCGTCATTGTATTCCTGAATGAACTTGCAGCAGCATTTACCGCCCTGGGCTCCTCCCCAGCGGAAGCCCAAAACGCTGTGGATCAGTACCTTGAACAATTTCCGGATAGCAGCCTAGCGAATATCTTGTCTGAGAAACAACAAAAGAAGAAACTCAGTATGGTTGCGGATGATATACTGTCGAATTTCTTGGATGCCAAGGCCTACAATTGTCCGGCTGTACGGGACTTCCTCCGTGAGGTCTTTGCGGGAGTGATATTGGGGTCCACTGTTACCAGTCTTGCCCGTCCTGAATTTATCAATGAATGGATTATCTATCTCCTGCAGGGCGGTGAATCCGAAATCATGCACGCTATCGACGCAGGCGTTGAAGGTGCGCGGAACCAGGGCGTCAGTGCTCCCACGTCTTCAGAAGACCCAAAGGCAGACTCCGCCAAATCCACACAGAGAGAGTCCATGCATGTGGCAAGGGCTACAGAGGAAGAAGCAGTTCTAGAGACGAAACGTCTAAGCGCTATGATTGCATCCCATGATTCGCAGAGCTCGGATTCAGAACCGCCACGCCAAAACGAACGAATTCACGAAAATTACCCTTTGGAGGCTAGTTTGGCTTCAAAGATGACGCACGAAAACGAATGCCATGAAGAACAGGGACCAGTGCCCAGTATGCAATTACTTGCAAGCCCGAAATTATCCGAAGACCCTTCTGCGCCACCTTTGATTCTTCATGGGGCACAAGTGTTGGTAGATGATGACGGAGCGAGGGATGAGAAGAGCCACATCAAGTCGCAACCCATGTGGGATTATCTACTACAGGTTGAACCAGCGTCAACACGCTCGACTGGCTGGATGGTGTTTCGCAAATATTCGGACTTCCTGTCTCTCCACGAGATTCTGGGGACTGTTTCACGTTTGAATCAGATTTCAAGTTTCTCAGAGCGTCACCCCATACTGCCCACCTGGAAGGGCAAAACGCGACAAGCTCTCGCCCGAGACCTTGAGTGGTATTTACAAGACGCCATGAAGCATGAGTCACTTGCTGACACTGATCGAATGCGCCGGTTCTTGGAAAAAGATGTCGGTTCTTCCACTGAATCCGCCGGTTCTAACAAACCGGCATTCTCTTTCCCTAGTCAAACTGCGTTTGAAAACATGGGCAAGGGTATGCTGGGGGGCATTGACCAATGCGCCCAAGGGAGTGGCGGGCGTATTCGGAGGCGCCAATGGCAAGAAGCCGGCCGTCACTGCTGATCAGATCCAACACAAAGTTGATAACTCCAGTCGCACCAGTTTGTCGCAGACACGGTCTAGCTCTGGTGATCGTACCGGCGTAAGCGACGGAAATGTCGATTCGCCTGCGGTGTGCCCTAGCGAATCCCTGGAAATCCAAAGAGGCGAAATTTCCAAGTCGCCTTCGACGTTCGGGAATGAGCAAGGTACATTGACCACAGAGATCCCACTCTCTAAAACCTCGCTTGATATTAGAGATACAGCAGAACTTGACATCCACGCAACGGAAACTACTGATCAAACCTTATCACATCGCCGATCTGAGACTGAGCAGAGTTTTGGTCAACCTCGCAAGCAGGGGAGTCCCATCACAGCTGATGAGACGCAAATAGCGGTAGAGCTGATCTTTGCGGTCATCAATGAGTTGTACACCTTGTCGTCTGCGTGGAATATACGTCGGACCCTTTTGAATGCTGCCAAATCGTATATCCTACGTCCCGGGAGCCCGACATTGGAAACAATTCGTACTCTGTTGCAGGATTCCATGATAGAAGGCCACACTTCGGACAACGCCCTGGGGGATTACCTCGTCAAGCTTCGTGAGAACGCGCTTCCGACCGAGGAGGAACTTAAAGCCTGGCCCCCTCCGCCCAATGAGGAGGAGAAGATCCGGTTACGGGATACTGCACGTAAACTATTTGTGCAGCGAGGAATTCCACAGGCCTTAACAAGTGTTATGGGGGCAGCTGCTAGTCGCGAAGCGCTAGAGAAGATCTTCGATAGTCTTCAAGTTGAAAGTGTCGCTCGAGGATTTGTCTTCTCAATCCTCCTACAGGGCCTTAGGGTATTGACTCTCTGATGTTCAATGGATCATATTGATTTTTGAGTATACACATGAATGAGACACCACAAGTACATATGGTAGGAATTATCAATGAGCACATATATACCTAGATAGGCACGTGATTACGTGTCCGCGTTTCGCGTTCGTGTTTGGACCTACACACCTTCCCACTTTCTCACCTTTCATACCTTCTCACTTACCGAGATTACTCAACCATGTCATCCAGGAAACGTCCGTCCGAGTCGGGCGCTGGCCTTGACGATAGCGTGCGCCCCAAAAAGGCCAAGGTCAACACTACAGCGGAAGCTAAAACCGACTCTAATGGAGACCGCTATTGGGAAATATCCAAGATGCGCCGTGTGACAATATCTTCTTTCCGTGGGAAGACCCAAGTCAACGTCAGAGAATATTATGAAAAGGACGGGCAGGAGTTGCCAGGAAAAAAAGGTCGGTTGATCGGTCAGTTTGCATAAACCATGCTAATGTTCATTCCCGATTTAGGGTATCTCAATGCCAGTGGATCAGTTCGCTGCCATAGTTTCCCTCCTACCTGAAATCGAGAAGGCATTGAAAGAGAACGGGGAGACTCTGCCTCGGCCTATCTACTCGGCAGAGGGAGGCCAGTCTGATCAAGGAGAGCAAGAACAGGCCAGTCCGGACAACCAAAGTCCATCAAAGCAGAATATTGAGGCGACAAGTGATGAGGAAAGTGAAGCATGATCGCCGTTGAGAGTTGATTTACGTTGCCCATAAATGGCTCTTACAGTTTCCATCATAATCAAATTGATATTGCCCGTTTGAATCAAAACATGGCGAACTTGCTCCCACTTGCTCCCAAGTTTCCTTCTAGATCACATACTTGCCTCTTGCGTCGCCGTGTTGTTGGCAATAGAGCCTCCCAGCCAAGCACGACGATGATCTTCCTCTTGGATAAGCTGGCTCTGGTCTCCGATTTGACCCCATCCTCCTCCTCCGGGCGTACGGATAATGATTCGCTCCCCTGCTTGCATCTGGACGGAGTTCTTCGCCCCGAGGTTGATGTATCTTGTCTCCCAGCCTCCGTCTTGCTTCTTCACGCGACGCGCCCAGATGTTCTGGCCACACTGGGCGTCCTCGCCTCCCTCCAACCCATATGGATGGTAGACTCTTCGTTCGGAAAGAATAGAGACTTGCACGGGAATACGGAATTCAATATCTCGCACAACGCCGTCCCCGCCGCGGTGCTGACCATTGCCTCCTGAATTCGGTCGAAGACTGAATTCTTGGAGGATGACAGGGTACCGCCGTTCAAACACCTCTGCATCGGTGATTCGGGTGTTGGTCATGTGTGTATGGACCCCTGAAGTGCCTTCCCAAGTCGGACCAGCCCCGCTACCACCGGCGATGGTTTCATAGTAACCGAACCCTTTCGTTTCCGTCTCACCGGGCATATTCCCCCCGAACCCGAATGTAAGGTTGTTGGTATCACCCTGTGACGCAGCGCAAGCCTGGAAGCACCTCAAAATGACATCGGTCACTCGTTGACTCTGAAGTGAAAATGATAAGCCCATGATCAACGTCAGTATCTGCCTGGTCTTACCGTCAAAACGTTGCCACCCACTACGGCAGCTGATTCCGAGGGGGATAGAAGACTACCAGGAGGAATTCGAACGTCGATAGGCTTTAAACAGCCCTGGTTCAATGGGATATCCGCCGAAACCAGGCATCGCAGGCAATAAATGATCGCTGAATATGTGACAGCCTCTGGTGCATTGATATTGCCTATCATTGTCAGCTCAATAAACGTCAAGTTTCCTCTTGAAGGCCGCTCTACCATACCATATACTTCTGGACCGGTCCCCTCAAAATCGAAGATTGCCTCTCCTTTGTCCCCATCTATTGATATATTCAATTGAATAGGGCTCCCGTCATCCATATAATCAGTAGCACTCAATTCTTGCCCAGCAAATCTTTTGCTCACATCTTTTAGTAGATTGCGCACGCTGAGCTCTGCGTTGTCTTGTATCTGGTGCATATAGAACTGCACGACAGTCTCACCATACTCCTCGATTAGAGTGTTGATCAAGCTGATCCCTTTCTTATTCGCAGCAATCTGAGCTTTGAGATCATTCAAGTTATCTGCTAGGCATCGCGTCCCACTGCAGTTTGGATACTGGGCTGGCTCTTTGTACAGCAATTCTGTGATGCGCTCCTCGTCAAACTTGCCTTCTGATACCAATTTTTCGCTTTTGATGGCTGCGCCTTCTTGGTAAAGCTCTTTTGAGTGAGGTGGCATAGATCCCGGGAGTATTCCTCCAATGTCAGCTTCATGCAGGTCAGTATATCTGTTCCATTTTCCCCCTCTCTCTCACTCGGGAAAAGCTCTTACCATGATGCGCTCTAGAGGCGACGTAGAATATGATCTTTCCCTGGCTAAAAGCAGGCTGCAGGACTGTGATATCTGGAAGATGAGTTCCCCCAAATTCCGGGTGATTTGACACAATTACATCGCCGGGCTTCAATTTATCTTTCCAGATCCGGGCCTGTATCTGTACACAGGTTGACATGCTACCGAGATGGACGGGCAAATGTGGCGCATTCGCAACAAGCCCGCCTTCTGCGTCGAACAATGCGCAGGAGTAGTCAAGTCGCTCCTTTACATTGGTACTTACACTTGTCTTCTGTAAAGCACGTCCCATCTGTTCAGCAATAGCCATGAACCTGTGCGAGAAGACGCTTAGCAGGATAGGATCCACATTGTCAGTGCTAATCTTTGGCAGGCTGGCGTCGGATTCACCAATATTGATGACGACGTGGGTTTTTGTCAAGAGCGCCGAAGCCCCTGGGGTCACCACGATCGTTTGGGTCTCATCAGCTAAAATGGCTGGGCCTCTCACTCGGTCATCAATCTTCAAGTCATCAAGTTTGTAGATTGGTGTTTCACGTCGGCCGCCCTCAAAGTATACGAGAGATCTGCGATATTCTTGGCCCATCGCCACATCCTTTGGGTTGGACTCTCGGACTTGCTGGTCCACAGTCTTCTCGGATACTTTGAATCCTTTCCCGATTCCTCTCACCCGCACGTCATCCACAATTATGTCCCGGTCTGGGAGAGTGAAACCAAACTCTTCATCATGTTGCTTCACAAATGCCTTCCCAAAGGCCCATTCGTCGCCCCCGAAGTGAAGATCGGCTTCCTCTTTGCTGGGTTTAAGTATCATCAAGGCAGATTCTGTTCCTCGATATCGCATATTGAGGTATTCTTCAAACACGATTGAGTCATTGCCGAAGCCTTGGTCTTGCAACTTTTGCGTGGATCGTTTCTTTAAGTCTTCTATTCTCGAACCAAGTGCATCGCGGACCTCTCCCTTATCGTCATCAGCCCAGATCTTCGATTCGGGCTCTTGGTTTTCATCAACAACGTCTGCCAGTGCCATTCCGTATGCCGAGAGCACCGAGGAATATCGATGAATCAAAATCTGCCGAATCCCCAGGCTCTCGGCAATGGCAACGGCATGCTGGCCCCCGGCTCCCCCAAACGTAGCCAACCTGTGTTTTGAGGTATCATGCCCCTTAGCCTCTGTCAAGGATCGAATGGGCCGGGTCATTGTCTCGTTGGCTACCTTGATAAAACCAAAGGCAACCTCGTCAGGGGACATTTCTCGGCTTTGGCCCCCTTTGGTCAACCTGTGATTGATTTCTTCGGTTAGTTCCTCAAACAACACCCGACTGGCTTGCTCATCCAGTCCCTGGGTTTCATCAGAGCCGAAAATCTTCGGGAAGAAGTCTGGGACCAATCGTCCAAGGAATAGATTGGCATCGGTTACTGTGAGCGGTCCACTCTTGCGATAGCATGCGGGCCCTGGATGAGCTCCTGCTGACTCAGGCCCAACGACGAAAAGATCGTTACGGTAGAACAATCTTGAGCCACCACCGGCAGCAACAGTGTTGATATCCAACTGAGGAGACTGGATTGTCACTCCAGCGGTGGTTGTCTCAAAGACATGTTCGTACCGGCCGGATCCATACCTGCTAACATCCGTGCTCGTCCCTCCCATATCAAAGCCTATTACAGGTGTCTTCGAAACAGGATCGTAGGAAGTCAACGCATACCCCACCACTCCGCCAGCAGGCCCTGACAGAATTGCTCGTAGGCCTGAAAATTGGTCCACGTCCACCAGGCCACCGTCTGATTGCATGAATTCACAGCGTGCGCCTTTGGCGCCCGCCTGCTGTTTGACACTCTCACTGCCCAGGCCACCCTCAAATCCGGCTTGAAATCCAGAGATATACTTCTTGATGGCAGGGGTCAAATATGCGTCGGCGCAGGCTGAAGTTGTCCTCGGCACAAGTTTAATCATCGGCATGAGCTGGTGGCTCAAACTCACATGGTGGAAACCAATCTCCTTAGCGATTCTTCCCACCAGTGCCTCATGGTCCGGAAAGGTGTACCCATGTATAAGACATATTGCTATGCTTCTAATCCCGCGGCTGTATACCTCTGTCAACTGCGATCTCACCAATTCCTCAGACGGACGCTTCAGTATGCGAACTGCTTCGGAAGAAAGCCCGCGAACAACGTCGTCTTCTACACGGGTCTGTTCTCTGGGAGTAGTGGTAGTGGTGTTTCTTTGCGGATCTTCTGCGTAGTCTTCCAAGGTGACGCGCTCGTCCACCTCAATCACCTCCTCATAAAGGACATCGGGACGTTTGATGGCAAGGTCGAATATTCTGGGACGAGACTGATTTCCAATCTCGAGGCAGTCTTTGAAGCCCTTGCTTACCACTAGCGCTACCTTCTCTCCCTTCCGTTCGAGCAGCGCATTTGTTGCCACGGTTGTGCCCATGCGGATGCTCTGGATCAAGGAAGTATCGATGGGTTCCTCACGAGGGATTTCATGACCTGTAAACTTGGAAAGAATGCGCCGGATCCCCTCCAAAGGTGCATCTTTGTAGTTGCCGGGGTCTTCTGAAAGCAGTTTAATCACAATATCATCTTCCAAGCGGCCCGTCCCGGGATTTCCAACGCAATCCGTAAATGTCCCGCCCCTCTTTGCCATGTTAGTGTTCTGCATATGTGATGAGAGGGAAGAAGACTAATACATCGATTGCAATGCTGATTCCTGTTTGTTTTGCTGAATCCATAATAGTAGAAAGTATTTGAATAAGATAGTCTTGTGCTCTACAACAGTAGGGACAAAGTGCAAGAGTTGTATTAGGAGAGAGGCCCGAACTACGTATAGGTAGCTATAGAGGGGTTAAATTGCCTGAGGCACCGAATAGTGGATGTTCCCTACAAATATTCTACGTCATATGGCTACATATGTCCACGGGTATGTATGATAGGGGCAATTTCCAAAAAGTACTCTGTATCGGATTTCATGTTGTAGAACTGGGGTTCTTCCAATTAACAATACCGTAGGAACCGATATGCTTCAAAAACCGGCTAACCCGCATTTATCCTCACATACAACTAAGGCACTACAGTGGTTTAGAGTAACCAGACCACATAGGATGGCGACCGGTCGAAGAGGGCGAGGGATTGAAATAATCGCTTTCAAATTAAAATTGCGAACAAGACGGGAAGGCGAAACGGAATTCATCGTGGTATTTGGGCGCGGACTTGGAACGATCGCTCGACGTTCGTTTAGGTGGGATCCGAGCTGCTGACCAGGATAAATTACCAACCTCAAAAAAATAAGAAATATCGGGAATAACTTGGGGAAAAAGCAAATTTGAAAAAGAGAAAAAAAGCAGGGGTCACACGTTCACTCGGCCCAAGTTTGTCCAGCGAAGAGCAAGCTTCACGCCATTGAAATCAGAAACACAGAGGCAAAGGGGCGGCGAGGTACGAGATATTGCCGTAGGATGAATTAGGAGCAACACTGGGGCGATAACCTTGTCTCCTCCTCCCCTAGTTGGCACAACCGCAATGGAGGACACCTTCAGAAGACGAAAACATAATGGCGACGGGAGACATGGTTCGAGGGCGAATGAACGTAGTACTGAGTTGATCTACTCAGCAGTATCAAGCTCATCATGAGCAGAGGGCATTGGGTCCAGGGGTACTGCTATATGTGAGTAAAAAGACATTTTCTAAGTGGATTCCCGGGGCAACTGACCTTTCCTGTCCTCACCGTTGGGGCCGTTCTCACGATCCTCCTCACGACGCTCCCGATCATCATCACGTCTCTCCCGGTCATCCTTGCCATCGCGTTCACGGTCATCGGGGCTACGAGAGCGGTCGCGAGAACGGTCGCGGTCACGTCGATCGTGGTCACGGTCACGGCGGTCAGTATCACGGTCGCGGCGGTCGTAGTCGCGGTCGGCGTCGCGTTCGTACCGATCGTCTCGGCGAGGGAATAGTCGCCGCCACGGCTGCGACGAGGGGATGGGAACGACCACGACGAGGAGGAGTGCGATCACGGCGACGATCACGGCCAGCATCACGTGGAGCGTCACGGCCAGAGCCAGAGTCAAAGCGCCAGGAAGCAGAGGGAGGAGTGCGTGCCCACTAGAGATAGGTTAAAAGAGATTTTCCAAAACTCTGGGGGAGGGTGGAGAGGATATGCTTACCTCAATCTTCAGCAAATCATCGCGACCGATACGCTTGTTGTGCATCTCATGATAAGCATCATCAGCATCGCGGCGACTCTCGTATTCAACGAAGGCAAAACTAAGCGATTTAGATTAGACTGGTAAAGTGGGTTTCAGATATCATGGTTTAACTCACAGTCGGCTGGAGGGAGTGCGCGGGGCAGGGATATCACAGCGAACAAGACGCCCATAACTAGTTCGAAAATCAGTTGAGCTGGCTCCAGATACCGGTATCGAGGGAAATTATGATGAAGAATGACCAAGACCAGCTAACAGTTGCCCAAGGAGTGAGACGGGGCAACGTAGACATAAGCTTCCAGGCCAATGTCAATGTCACGCTGGAAGAAAGAAAGAAGAGGGTCGTCCAAGGAATCCAGTGCCAATGGTCTTCATCGGGAGGTCGTCGGAGGGATGGGAATCGGAGTTCGTAGGTGCGAAGGTAGAGGCGACACGTACCGTTCGAATTCGTAGGCAAGATCGCGAGCACGGGTGCCATGGCCAAACCCGGTAACATACAGAGTAGTTCCAGAGCGGGAAGACATGGTGCCGTTAGCACAGAGCAATGGAAAAGAAAGAAGATCGGGTCAGTTAGAAGGGTTTGAAAGAGTTGGAAAGGAGTGGAGCTTAAGAAGCTTCAAGAGGATTAAAGAGTATAAGGGAAGAGAGAGAGAGCACAGAAAGAATTAGTGATGAAGGTGCTACGGTGGATCAAACATGCCAATGACGCAATTGATGAAAGGAGTTTTTTTTTTTCCCTCTCTCTTTCTTTTTCCATGCGTGTTTTTTTCGTTTCCTTATTTTATGACAGATGGTTTATTTACAAATGTAAAAGGATATTGTTATTTTTTTTTTTAAGAAAAAAAGAAATTATATTTGAAAAGAAAAGAAAAAAGTAATACCAATACAATGTTGGAGAGGTCTAGGCATTACCTACATGTACATATACGGAGTACGGAGTACGAATGGTACTATGTAGCTTATCCGCCCCCAAGGTACGTAATATAAGTGGCGGACTATCGGGAGGTACCGTGTCTGTCGGTAAGTCGGGATGTTCTTCTCTTTCTGAACCTCTAAACCTCTCCAAAGGCAATTTGATCCTCCAGATATACACACCTCCGTGATCTGTGACCACATTCCTGGTTCCCTATTTCTTCTTTCTTCTTTCTTCTTTCTTTTCACCTGTTCACATCTCCTACCAACATTGAAGGGGGGAAAAGCAACTCCGACCCAACATCACATCTGATCATAGCAAAGTCCTTCGTTTTTGACCTTGCTTCTCTTTTTTCCCCCCCTTTTCGCAAATCCACTATCGACATTACCTTTTATACCTCGGTTACATGGCCATTGAAACGAACAACACACCACGGGACACAAGATCAATGATGTGCTTTTAGATCATCAAGCCTCCGAAAACAATCAACCTTCATGGCTAGCACGACACCAATAGTGCTTCATCGCATTTGATTTGCAGCAACAATCAAGCTTCATTTTCCGATTAAAAGAGTGGTGGGAAAATCATTATACAGCAGATCACAAAGGACTTTTTTTTATCAACCTCATCTGCAGAACCGGATGTGCATATCGTCAAGATGAGCTTAGATCGCCAGAATGTTGTTCAGAAAGAGGAGCTGGAGGGTGCAGCAAAGCCTGCCTTGCAGAACCTGTCTAAATTTCCCACAGGTTCAAGTTCAGCCAATGTGAGAAGGAGAAACCCCCCATCATATGAACTAGGAGGCTGACAGTTTGATTAAAGCAGGAGCTGATTAATGAGGAGAACCCCTCGGTGCTGGTTCGTGTTAGAAGGAATCTCGCCGAACCAGTGGTGGCTGCATTTATGGCTGGTGGAGTGGCTGGTGCAGTTTCCAGGACCATAGTGTCACCACTCGAACGATTGAAAATTCTTCTTCAAGTCCAAAGCGTCGGTCGAACAGAATACAGATTGTCGATCTGGAAAGCCTTGGTGAAGATGGGGCGGGAAGAAGGCTGGCGGGGCTTCATGCGAGGAAATGGAACAAACTGTATTCGCATCATCCCCTATTCTGCGGTACAGTTTGGGAGCTATAATTTTTACAAGCAAGTGGGTGTCTGCTCCTATCCTGCAGAACTAAGGTTCGATCCAAACTGACATTCCTTTGATCCAGTTTGTCGAGTCTCCCGATGGTGAAATGACCCCGATGCGTCGCCTTATTTGTGGAGGTGTTGCCGGCATCACCTCGGTGACTATCACCTATCCTCTGGACATTGTTCGGACCCGACTTTCTATTCAATCCGCTTCATTTGCCGATCTTGGATCAAGAGATCCAAGCCAAAAGCTGCCAGGCATGTTCACCACAATGGCCATGATCTATAAAAATGAAGGTGGGACAAAGGCTTTATATCGTGGAATTGCTCCTACTGTTGCTGGGGTGGCCCCATATGTGAGTTCTCAGCTTAATTTTGACTTGGTCACAACTGACAAGCGACAGGTGGGACTCAATTTTATGACCTACGAATCAGTCCGCAAGTATCTAACACCGGAAGGGGACAAAAACCCTAGCCCCTATCGAAAACTACTGGCTGGCGCGATCTCTGGAGCAGTCGCCCAGACCTGTACATATCCTTTGTCAGTTCTTTTGTTCTATTTGCTAAGCCTTGCTAAGCCCGGGTGAAACTGACTATTCTTTAGTGATGTACTACGTCGGCGATTCCAGATCAACACAATGTCAGGAATGGGTTACCAATACACCTCGATCTGGGATGCTGTGAGGGTGATCGTGGCTGAAGAGGGACTGCGTGGGCTCTTCAAGGGGATAGGGCCGAATCTTTTGAAGGTTGCTCCTAGTATGGCAAGCAGCTGGTTGAGTTTTGAAATGACTCGTGATTTCTTCGTCCGCTTGGATGATAGAGAATAGTTCAAATAATATATGTACCTAGATATTTCTTCGCATTATTATTATGAACATTTTATTATACACAATGCACATAAACAAAGAGTGGATAAAAATGATCTGGTATGCTGTACAAATAGACAATGTACATCCGTACTCAGGTACGCCATAACAGAATTTGAAAGATAAGGTTCATTTATACTCCCGACGGAGTAATTCGCTACTCCAGGGCTAGAGGCAATGAGACCCTCTTAGCACGTGACCAAGTGACAAGTTGACGGACTATAGGTCACGTGGTTATAGCCTGGTCATGTGCCTCGCCTTTCCTAGTATAGTCTAGCGTAGGGCTAAACCCACACACCACTGTCCAGCCGAAAGTCAAGGATCAAAAACCTCCTGCACTTTCCATACGGGTGCGACAGCAAGCTATTTCCCGGGAAGTCGACCAATACACAGCCATGGGTATGTTCAATCATCTCTGTTCGCTCGACTATCGCATCTCGCAGCATTCATTCGAATCCCTTCTTTTTCCCTCGTCGTTCTAAGTTCATTCCATTGACAATTTCTAAATCGCAGGTATCGACCTGGACCGCCACCATGTGCGGAGCAGCCACCGCAAGGCTCCCAAGAGCGACAACGTCTACTTGAAGGTTCTGGTGAAGCTCTACCGCTTCTTGGCTCGTATGACTCCCCCGATTCCGATTTTCGTTTGCAGCGCAATTTCTGCAGGTGTACCGTTGTGAGGATTTTAATGAGGCTGATATGGGATGCATGATAGGCCGCACCGAGTCCAACTTCAACAAGGCCGTCCTCCGTCGTCTCTTCATGTCGAGAATCAACCGCCCCCCCGGTTTCCCTTTCTCGCGCTGTTGCCAACATCAGTGAGGCACAGAAGGGCAAGACTGTCGTCGTTATCGGCACTGTCACCGACGACAACCGCCTTTTGACCATCCCCAAGCTGTCGATTGCCGCCCTCCGTTTCACCGCTACTGCCCGGGCTCGCATTGAGAAGGCTGGTGGTGAGACTTTGACTCTTGACCAGCTTGCTCTCCGCGCCCCTACCGGTGCCAACACTCTCCTCCTGCGTGGACCCAAGAACGCCCGTGAGGCCGTGAAGCACTTCGGCTTTGGTCCTCACACCGACAAGGTGCGTTATTGTGACTGGACAATGAGACGGTGTGATTCGGATTTACTGACTCAAAACAGAAGCCGTACGTGGGAAGCAAGGGCCGCAAGTTCGAGCGGGCTCGTGGTCGCAGAAGGTCCAAGGGTTTCAAGGTTTAAGGGACTTGATGAGGATAATGCGGTGTGTATGTATTGTGAAACATACATTGCCCACATTGACTTTCCCGGTGCCTGGAATCGTTCCAGTTCTAGCCAGATGCCTCAGGTCTGTGTACTTAAAAGTGGCGGGATGTCTTTGGTTGGACTGGAAAATGAGAATTTACGAATGAAGGGGCAAAAGAAAATTGAATCAGGCTTTGTCCTAAGTTTTTTCTTATGGGAACTTCAAACAAGAAAGCAAAAGAAAAAAAAAATCTTTTCTAAAATGATATCCTTCTATTGATGCGTTACACTGGAGGTCGATTACTGGTCTATGGGCAGTTTAGTATGGAGATATTTCTTCCCTCCTTCACCATCATAGTCCGCTGCCCCATGACCATTTCCCCGGATCAAGTACTTGTAGATGGTCAGGCCCTCAAGTCCGACCGGTCCTCGGGAATGAATCTTGTTGGTGCTGATGCCAACTTCCGTACCAAAACCGAACCGCATGCCATCGGCAAACCTAGTAGATGCATTCCAGAAAACACCAGCACTGTCAATTCCGCTCATGAACATATCCGCCACCTCTTTGGACTGGGTCAAAATGACCTCGGTATGCTTGGAGGAATGCATGTTTATATGGGTAATAGCAGCCTCCACGGCCGTGGTCGAAGGGTCAGTCGAGGGAATTGTTTTCACTGCCAACACAAGGTCCAAAAACTCAGTGTTATAGTCGGATTCAACGGCCGTTTGTACTTGCGCTGATTTTTCGGTTGGCAATCTCTTTGTCAACGCAGATTTTGAATCGGGATCACAACGGAGAGTCACGCCTTTCTCCAGAAGAGCAGCAGCTACCGCCGGGAAGACAGATTCAAGGGTATCCTCATGGACAAGCAAGCACTCCAATGAGTTGCATGCCGCTGGATAGTTCGTTTTTGAATCCACAATCACTTTGACAGCGGTATCGGTATCAGCGTCGGCGTGTATGTAGGCAGAACAAAGACCATCGGCATGTCCAAGTACAGGGATCTTCGTATTATCTTTCACGAATCGGACAAGTTCGTTGGAACCCCGAGGAATGACTAGGTCAATCAGCCGATCCTGGGCCAAGAGAGAAGACACGACATCGCGTGTCTTGACCAGCTGGATCGACGCAACTGGCACGCGAGATTCGGCGATAGCTTTAGAGACAACGTTCGCGATTGCCGCAAAGGACTCCATAGATTCCTTCCCACCTAGAAAGTTGATTTACGTCAATTGAACAATACCATGAAACCTTTATAAGGGCGTGCGTGTACCTTTCAGAATAGCAGCGTTACCTGACTTGATAGCCAACGCAGCGATGTTTGCGATTACCTCTGGGCGGGCCTCAAAGATAATCAGTAGTACACCAATAGGGCAGCTGACTCTCTCGAGTGTCAGACCATCGTCAAGGAGGGTTCGTAGTGTCACTTTCCCAACTATTGTTGCGTTAGATCCCGTCTCATCAAGCTCAAAGATTAGAAACTGTACTCACTAGGGTCATCCAAATCTCGCACACTCAGGATTCCATCAAGCATGTCTTGGTATTTTCCAGGCCGCGAGAGGTCAAGTCTCTTGAGCACACTCTGACTCAAATTTCCACTCTCAGCCGCAATAGTAGCAAGTTCCACATCCCTAGCATTGGCTTTAAGGATATCTTCTCTGTTCATTTCCAATGCATCATGGAGCAACGTCAAAGCTTTATTGCGTTCATCATTGTTTAAGGTTGCGAGGCGACGAGAGGCAAGTGATGCGCTATGAGCGGCATCAAATGCTGCGGATTCGGTCAATGACATGTCAAATAATATCCTATAATCTCCTATAGGAATTGAACAATTGTCAGAAGTGAACGTAGTAGGGCAAGGAAAATGAAATGAGTCAAAAGTGTGGAGGGGCGTATCGATCCCGCTCTCGGATTTACCCACCTTCCGGGGTCTCCCAATAATCATCACAACTCCCCTACGTCACATTTCTTTACCAACATACACACACCTACAACAGTAGGTTTTCTTTTACAAACATCTTATCAAACCTCTCTTCTTTCCCCTTTGCTCTTCTCTTCCTCATCCAGCCTTGAGTCTCCATCTAATTGAAATCCTGACATCACAAAAGCAAGAGAGTCTCGAAACAGAACACATCTTTGCGCATTTGTCGCCAAATTATCCTGCGCTCTTCTTTCATGCCTAGCCAGGATGACATTACTCTCGGATATTATCTCTGCGTCGGCGCATTTACACAGCTCTAATCACTTACCCAGCGACGAGTATGACCGTCGGATCCGCGAGCTAGTTGAATACTTCAGGCGGCTACAAACGACCAAGGCACTCGAGTCATTTGCCAATGATGAGTCTTTTCTCGATGTAAGCACCTTCATTTATATCACATATTGCTTTTCTGAAGTTTCTATAGGCTCACAGCTAATGTTCATTTGTCTTTAGCGTTTTGACCCAGCGATAGATTCTATCCCATTTCTCTTCGTGCTACGTGTGCAAATACAAAAGGTGCAGGAACTGAATGCCGATTTATTCCCAGCGGATATTCGCCCCTCGGGAAAGCTATGGACACGCGCCGCACATTTTTTGGCGAGTTTCGATGGGGTCCAAGTCAGATACGCTGGACGAGAATGGCGCCTTCTTGTTGAGCTCGTGGCACAAGCATCGCAGGCTGCATCAACGGTGAGTCGGCTAGTCCAACATATCTTGGATATAATTGCTAACCTAACACTGGTACAGCCACTGCTAGGCGCTACACTGGTTAAGGACGCTATGCTTCGTCTCGACCCATCATGTGCCGTTTTCACCTCGAGTCACCTCTTGCTTGTCCGGCTTTGTCTCCAGGCCAAAGCATATTCTTGTGCGTTGCCTGTCTTGAATAAGCAGATTTGTCATTTCCCGATTTCACTTGGACGTCCCTCTTCAGAGCCCTCTGTGCTCTGCGCCGATCACGGGTCAAGTGTATCTTTTATGACTGAAGCTTCCGAGGTTTCATCCAAGATATCTTATCGAGACTACTTGCAGTACTTCCTTTATGGTGGTATGGTGTACATGGCGCTGAAGGAGTGGCGCAAGGCACTTCATTTCCTTGGGATTGTCATCTCTATGCCTAGTACTAGCTCTGTGAGCCTGATTATGGTGGAAGCCTACAAAAAATGGGTGCTGGTGGGCTTACTCGAGAAGGGCAAGGTGAGTTATCTCTTCGCTGAGAAGAAAATAAAGGAACTCGACAACACGAGCCCTATTGTTTTCTTGAGCTAATTATTTCCGCGAGCAGCTCTGCCCGCCTCCAAGCATCACAACACCTCATGTGGTGAAAGTGTATCAAGCACTTGCGAGGCCCTATATTATTCTTGCTCACACATTTGAACGTGGTGATTTGAAGAAACTTAATGCTGAAATTGATGCTGCCATGGGAGTCTGGAGCGCGGTAGGTGGCGGCTCTGATCGACACTGTGGATTGTCTTGTTTTGACACTCAGGGCTAATGCCTCCTCTTTAGGACAAAAATCTCGGTCTCGTTGCCCAGGTAGTGGCTGTTTTCTTCAGTCAGACTGTGATCAAGCTTGGGAAAACCTTTGCAGCTTTAACAATGGCCGACCTTTCAAAGCAGGTGTCTCTGTGTGCAGAAGTCACTGGACCCGCTGTCTCATCCCTCATCATGTCTCGTGCTTTAAACGCGACATTGGTGCAGACCAAAGATCTTGCTGAGTCTTCTATGCTACGGTTCTCATCCATTCATTCGTTACCTCGACTCTCTCATGAGTTGGACTTACAGTCCCAACTGAAGCAAGAAATGAAGCTGATGGAGACCCTGGTGATTAATCTTGGGGAAACCAATAATAACCTGGGATTAAGCGACGAGTACGTTGATAGCATCCATAAGGGTCAGGTTTGGTCAGGCTCTAGTGATGTCAATCCCACTGGGGGGGAAACTGGACTTGAGATGGATGAGGATCTAATGGGTGACATGTCCTGAGTTCATCATTATGGTATCAAGGAGCAATAAGGACCGAATAGTCTTGCTTTGAATGTATTGCTTGTGGTGCTAGTCACTTGTAGTGCATGTAGACTAATTGGTTAGGAGTCGGGCCGTGCGTTGGGCCTAGTACAACATAGTGATACCTGCTGGCACCTAGGTAGATGCAATTTGTGATTGCGGCATAGATAAATTACCGCCGACACGAGTATGTTACTTCCCAGTAACCTGTTTGGAGCAATTAGAATGTGTTATTAATAGTGGTTCTATTGCAAATCTAAAACGGCTCATCCTATCACAAAGCACATGAAATATTAAATACATTATCACATTACTATCCCGAAGATAATAAGTATCATGGGAAACTGCACACTCGCTGGAACCTTGGAAGATATCCAGGACCAAACACCGTAAAGAAATACCCCAAGGGTTTGAAAGAAGCAAGCATAATGTGGACGAAGAAAGGTAAAGATGTAAACATGCAAGTGCTTACTGGGCCTTCGACGCCTTGGCCTTGTTTTCCCTTCGGCGCTTCAGCGCATCTGGGGTGTACTCGGTGTCAAGGACATAATCCCACCACCGGAAGCTGCTGGAATAGTTGCCAATGAACTTCTCATGGTGGAGATCGTGGTGATCGGCACCAGCCCAGAAGGGAAGGAAATGGTGAAGACTCCATGGGAATTCATAACCACTGTGGGCATCAATAGCCTGGAACAAGCGCAAGACGATCCAGATGTACATGGTAAGAATGTGCAGTTCACCTGTCATCGCACACCAAACGATCGGGCACCCGACAGTTCCAAAGCCCAGGATCATCACTTCAATTGGTGAGGCATATTCAGCAGCCAAGCCGAAAGGCGCGGAGTACTGGTGGTGGATTTTGTGAATGGCCTTGTAGAGGGGACCCCAATGCAGAGCACGGTGGGAGAAGTAATGCCAGGTATCCTCCATCACGAAGAAGATTGCGATCTGATATGCCATGGTCCAAAGGGAAGGGAATGGGATCGAAGTTGAAAGTCCGCAGAATTGTGCCATGGGGTGGAAGAGCCTAGCGTATTATGTTAGACCCCGGAGAAGTTCCATTTATAAGGGATTCAAGTCTTACCAGATCTGGGGCAGCTCGACAGTGAAATGACTCAGGAGCACGAATTTGGCGCAATCCCATTGTTCCCGTAGTGATGGAATTTTGTTCTGCCCGGTATTAGAATTGACCAAACGAAATGAAGGGTGCCACTTACACCTTGAATCTTGTAGCGGTTGAACATGCCCAATGTGTCGATGAAAATCCAGGGTAGGGAGCGACCGAAGTAGACCAGTTCATGCATGGCGAATGACATGATTCCAGTGGCAAGGACATCGTTCTGCATCCAAGCATACCAGGCCGCCCACAATCTCTCTGCCACATTCAGGTCGGCATTGTACTTGCCAATCTCCTCGAATTGGCCCCAGTATGTCCCCGAGGACAAGACCGTTGAATTCCTGTATGGGATGTTAGATACTATGACAGGTAAAGGACATGATCACCATACATTGTAAAGGTTGTTTCTCCTTTCAGAAAGTAAAGAGAGGAAAAAGCAGAAGTCAGAAGTCAGAAGTCAGAAAGAAGAAATGAGAAGATATGTAGACGCTGAGAAACCAAAAAGTGATTCTATCCAAGTTATAAAGGAAAAAAGGGATAAGATCAAAAAGATCAAGAAGATCAGGACAGTCCAATCCCGACGTGGCGAGATCCAACTTTTTTTCCCCCCTGAACGTAGGGGTAAGGCCACTGGCAAGCCGATCCCCATCCGAGATCACCCCACCTGCATAAAAATCAGGTCATGCGGATTTCGCTGCTTTTTGTTTGGTTGAAGACGAGCATGGCGACTCCAGTGAAAATCCAGACCCTTTTACTAAAACTATTTATGTTGTAGGTACTCCGTACATCTTACGATCATTTTCTTGGAATTTGGCTTTTAACGTAAAGTACTTTCTATGTCCGACCCAGTATGTTCTCTACTGTGTAGGCTCAAGTATAGTTTGGGTTGTTTGTAGTTGTTTGTATGGTTTGCAATATCTGTATAAATATCCTATTTTGCACTATTTGCATCGTTTGCACTGTTGTATGCATGACGACATCAACCTTAACCCTCCACTGTTTTTCTATTGTAGGTACTATGGTCAGCTTTTGAGGGTAGCTATACCTCGTACCATTGGAACATCCGGGGATGTCTGTCATACGAGAGTGAGTGAGATACAGTTCCTGAAAGATGTCTTATACTTAACTTGTATTTCTTTCCACAGAACTGTTTGTGGCGTCAACACTCAGCTTGATCGCCTTCAGCAACAGATCTCAAGCCCACAGAGATTAGAAGCCACAGCTTTATCCAACGAATCTCTTGAGTCAATTGGTCAACTGCAAGATCTCATCAACTCCATCTCCGTGACTTCCAAGACCCAATCGCTTCTACCTCCTAGTCGGTTGGCAGATTTACTTTCGGGAACTTTATTACAGATCACTCTCCGTGGAGGAAGCAGTGCACAACTGTCAGACCATGTGTGGATAGTGGCTGCAAAGGCCGCCATTCAGGCATCAGGACTGGTCATGAACACTCTCTTGGATCAAACACTTCAACTGCACGATGAGACCTATTATTGGGGCGAGATGCTGGGGTCTGTATGGTATAGCAGTCTGTATACCGTTCAGAAATTCCCAGCACAATTCTGCAGGTGGACGAAGGATGCATGCGCCGCTCAGATCTATCAAGAAGCCCCATCCATCACTGCCAGATGGTCCCGGTTTTACCAGATTGCCCGCCAAACTGCTTGGAATCTCGGAGGACACTCCATAGGTGCCAATTTGCTATCCCCAGTTAGATCATCCCGAGCAGAAATGCGGCAGAAACGAGACTTGCTCCTGAAAATGAAAGACCTCCATACCAGCAGCCTGGGTCTTTTGATGGAGGGATGGCATCTTTTCGAAGCGAATGACTCCGCGAGTTTAAGCCCCGGAACTATCAACACCCAATGGTGCGATGCAGTTCACAGAGCGGTGGTTTTAATTGAAGCCATCTTTCATCATATAGCACTTGAACCTAGCACTCACGAATTGGAACAGGGAGTATTCGCCACTCTGGAGAGGGATATGGATGACACTAGAATGCACACACAAAACGACGATCCCGTGCATAAACCTTTGGATCTGATCGAGCGACTTGTGCGTGTCCTTCGAGGGAAGTTGCCAAACCATACCACTTCAATGTCTTTATTTATTCGTCGCCACGGGCGCCCTTCATTCATAGTCCGTTATTGGCTACCAGTCTCAGCCGCTCTCCTTTCAGGAAGTGCATCAATGAGATTTTTGGCCAACCGACAAGAGGAAATCATCCAGTCGATTGTCGATATCGGTTCGACCACTATCGATTTCTGGGGTAATTGGGTTGTTCATCCAATCCGAAATCTCATTGGGACGATCAGACATGACGAAAAAAGCGAGATTGCGATAATGAGCAAGAATAGCCTACTGGCTGATCGGGAAAGTCTAGAGAGAATGGTAGTGGACTTTGTCCGCGATCGCCCGGATCTTCACCAGGGTGCGGTGGCGGATACCACCGCCATCGTTAATTCTGTCAAGGAGGGTGATTTGACCCCCGTTCTCAAAGCATATGAAAGGGACCTGCGGTCGCCATTCGTTGGAACTGTTAGAGGCGATCTTGTCCGTGCCCTTTTGATCCAGATCCAGAAGACGAAGGTCGACGTGGAAATTGCCATTAGTGGTATTGATGCTTTGCTGAAGAGCCAGGAGCTTGTATTTGGGTATGTTGGGGTCTCCTTCCCCACTTGATTTCTTTTGCCATTAATATCTTTTAGATTTGTTGGGTTGACTCCTGGGATCTTGGTTTCCTTTGCAACTATGAGGTGGCTAGGTGGTCTTCTCGGTAGCCGACGAGGATTGCGAAGAGGCAAGCAGCGACATGAATTGAGACGTGGATTGCGGTATGATTCTCTCAAACTGGTGTACAACCCCTTAACAAGCTAATTCCGATACTTTTCGTGTAGGAATGTGGCCCGGATTTTGACTTCTTCTACGGTTTTACCCAATGGGACTGTCCCTTACAAGGACGCTGGCCAATTGATTTGTGAGGCAGAGGCTCTTCTTCTGCATGTTAAGATAATATTTGGGAGCATGCAGTACGAAGAGTTCCGAGAAGACATCCAGGACCTCTTGAATGTTCAGGATGGAGTGGACAAGCAACTTCGCGTGATCGAAAGGATGAGATGGGCGTATTTCCAATAGGTGCTTGGTAGCAATAGATATTTCCATCCTAGAAACACCTGATATACTATGTATCAACATACAATTAAATAATACATCATTCATTGTCTGTATATATCTGCTGTGTTCTTAGGGTTGAGAGCCCAGAAACGTACGAAACCCGGGCTTTCTTTTTGTATAATGACATCCAAGATCTATTTCGTATCATACAGATCGAAGTGTATTTAGCATGAAGATATCCATGTACATTTCTAAATTACAAATGCCAGTTTAATGGATGCTTGGATACTGAATGGATCCCATGATGTTGCTTACATAACATACCGAGATCCTCCTTACCGTACCGTCATCACCTCCACTCCGTAGGTGGTGCATCGTTTCTGCCTCCTTTCCCGTAAGACACTCAGAAATCTTTAGCTCATCTATGCTTGGTTGTGGATCTCTGCTTGAAGTCTACAATCTTTTCATATTCCTGCCCATTTATCAACTTGGGCGCTGTTCTAACATTTGTCCAAGCTCCTGATAAGTCCTCGGGGCAACTTGGGAAAACCATCATCCTAAACCACTTGATCGCTCCAATTCATCCTGCAGCAGCATCTACTCCTTCCGCTTCGCCCGAAACAACATCAAAACCAATACCCCTTGTCGCTCGACTTGACGAATCTCCGGATCACTTCGGTCTCCTATCCATCTTCCACAGTGCTGCTAGCTTCGGTGCTTAATTTCTACTCAAATATCGCCATAATCCATAATGGCTGGCACACGGAATTATGATTTCCTGGTTAGTATTCACCGCTGTTCAAAATCTGACCAGTTTCCCCACAAAGCCCTGACAGTGTTAACTTTGTCATAGATTAAACTGTTGTTGATCGGGGACTCGGGCGTGGGTAAATCATGTTGTCTACTGCGATTCAGCGAAGACTCCTTTACCCCATCATTCATCACTACAATCGGAATTGACTTCAAAATTCGTACGATCGAGTTGGATGGCAAGAGGGTGAAGTTGCAGATCTGGGACACTGCAGGCCAGGAGCGCTTTCGCACTATCACGACGGCGTACTACCGAGGTGCCATGGGTATTTTGCTGGTCTACGACGTGACAGATGAACGATCATTCCAAAGTATGACTTTCTCCCCCTCTCCTCGTTAGCTGGAGGTATCTGACTTTTTTTCTTTTCCCTTCTGTTTAGACATTCGAACCTGGTTTTCAAACGTCGAGCAACATGCCAGCGAAGGCGTACACAAGATCCTCATTGGAAATAAGTGCGACTGGGAAGAGAAAAGGGCAGTTTCTACTGAACAAGGCCAGCAGCTCGCCGATGAACTCGGCATTCCCTTCCTCGAGGTTTCGGCCAAGAACAACATCAACATTGAGAAGGCGTTCTACAGCCTTGCATCGGATATCAAAAAAGGGATGGATACTTCCAAGACTGAACAATCTGGTTCTCAGGGTGTTAATATAGACCAGCAAGGCTCCGGTCCGAATGGTAACTCTGGGGGCAAGTGTTGTTAGTTGTTGTATCACCACCCTTTGTCTTTTGCCCATGATCTCCCTTGTGTTTTAAGCTACCACGTGTCTCTTATTTCCCCGCGCGCTTTCTTTTCCGTCGATATCTCGTTTTTGTTCTGCTCGCTACATTATCATGTGCCAAGATCTGAATGTCCAAGTTTTATGCCTGAAGAATTGGCGCCTATGGACATTCGAGTATCATACAAACTTGTCCATATTCTGTGATACCTCGTAGTTTGTGTCTATACTTTTCTTTTCCCTCCTCTTTGATCTGGTTTTATTGTAGGTATACATATATATACACATACACATACATAATGCATGTAGGTATAAGGGATGTACTCTGCGTACGTACAATGTAGCGAACTGGGTGACCCACTTTTCTCTAAATCTTTCCATTCTTTCTCTCTTCGCTTTTCACACTTCACTCTTCTCTTTTTCTTTCTCTTTTTTTTTGAATAATCTTCTTAATAGTTGCTTTGTTTTTCCCCCTTCAATAGAAAGATTGAAGGCTTGATTTAATACAAGGACAATTCCAATTTCACCGTTCCCCGGAGTTGCCCCTCCCCACCAAAAATCTCTGGGAAATATTTGGATTGTTTTCTCTACTTTCAGTGCTCAGAAGTCTCATGCTGTGAAGTCTTCCATGATCTCAAGCTTTTAACATATCCGAGACAGAAAGAGGAGGGAGTGATCCCAAAGGAAAAAAGACAGGATTACAACAACACACCAAGGTCCTTTTTCATATCATGTCTGACATTCGCAGTTTTACTGCTCGTCCATTGTCAAAGCAGCAAGCACGGAAGGACCTCAAAGATGCATTTCGTGTCTATCTATCCTCCTCTTCGTTAGCTGCGCTAAGGCTCCAAACCGAGAGCATCTGCACGCTAAGGCAAGCGGATGGGCCGCCGCAGACTGCCATAGCATGGTATGCGTCAGAGAACATCCAGAGCACAGTCATGCAAATATCAAGGACACTGCAGGAATGCTATGATATCAAGATTGGAGAGAAAGTTTCTATCACCAGGGCTGAAGGCCCCCTAGACAACGTCGACATAGTGACATTGGCGGACTGTTCAGATCCCGAGAAAATTGCCAAACATGGCTCAATTTCAGAAAGTGACAGATCCCACTGGGAATGGGCCCTGGATGAAAAGCTACTCCGATGCGGGAGTTTGACGACAGGCTTGACGTTTGACCTGGAGCTCAGGGGACAACCCAGGAGTTTTCGAGTGGTTAATATTCATTCACAGAACCCTCACTCTAGTCATACTCTTTTTCAGTTCACAGAGGCTTCCAAGGTTTCCCTTGGCCCAGTCATCGAAAGAAAAGAAGAAAAATCTTCAGGCATAGAGGTGCAATCTACTGGTCTTGGAGGCCTCTCCCGCCAGATTGACGACATCAATGAAAGTTTGTCTGATTTCAACATTGATCCACGGAAGCCGGCGATGCCATCATTCTACGAGAACAGCCGAGGGATTTTACTCTATGGACCAAAGGGGACAGGCAAAACAAGTCTTCTAGAACATATCGAGAAGGCTGGCTGGAAGCAAACATTCAAAGTCGGCATGTCAACTTTGGGGAGAAGTACCCATGAGGGCGAGGTTAAGCTGCGAAATATCTTCCAGGAGGCGGCTCGCTCTAACCCCAGTGTCATCATCATCGATCAGCTGGATTTTATTGCCCCCAAGCGAACCTCGATTGAGTCTCATTCCCTTGCATCTGTCCTTTGTGAGAACCTAGATGCTATCCGAAACACATCGATCCTCGTGGTGGCCGCAACAAGACACCCCAATCAAGTCGATGACGCCCTCAGAACGCCCCATCGACTCGGGACAGAAATTGAGATACAAGTCCCTACCGCTCAGGACCGAGCTGAAATACTACGTGCCATTCGGGGGCCAGTATCTGCTGGTCTAACGGACGAGCTGGTAGACCTACTAGCAGAAAAGACACACGGATACGTTGGAGCCGACCTTTTCGCCCTTCTGCAATTGGTCTGTCGCAAAGCCCGACAACGACAACTCGTGGAACAAAACTCCACAGCCATCTCGGCCAGCCCGACCGACCCATATAGCTGGCATCATGGAGGTTTCAGCGAGGATGAACCGGCCATCTCATTGGAGATACAAGAAACAGATATTCTGCTTTCACTGCAGGAAATTCGTCCCACAGCCATGCGGGAAGTATTCTTGGAAACCCCAAAGGTGAGATGGTCAGACATCGGTGGACAGCATGATATCAAAAAGCGCCTCCAACAAGCGGTTGAGCGACCCTTGAAGGTAAGATCTGTATTCGAGTACCAGGACAACCCTTGCATTGAAGACTAATTTTTCCTAGTATCCTCAACGGATGCGCAGACTCAACGTGAATAGTAAAAAGGGTGTTTTACTTTATGGCCCACCAGGTTGTTCCAAGACACTGACAGTCAAAGCCCTAGCCACAGAGGCGGGGCTGAACTTTCTGGCAGTCAAAGGTGCAGAGATTCTCAGCATGTACGTTGGAGAGTCTGAGCGAGCGTTGAGAGAGATCTTCAGAAAGGCCCGAGCAGCACGACCAAGTATCATATTCTTCGATGAGATTGATGCCATTGCTGCTCGACGCAGCAGCAGTTCGGGAGGAGTCAATGTTCTTACGACATTGCTAAACGAAATGGACGGTATCGAGGAGCTCCGAAACGTGTTGGTCATTGCTGCAACAAACAAGCCCGATGTCTTAGATCCCGCATTGATGCGACCCGGGCGATTGGACAATATTCTTTATATTGGTCCCCCGGACTTTGAGGCGCGCAGGGAAATCTTGCGCATCTGGACCAATAAGTCTGTGGTGAACCCAGAAGTCGACTTGGATAATCTGGCATCTCTGACCGAGGGCTATTCTGGTGCCGAGATTGTGAGCATCTGTGAAACTGCGGGAGATGCAGCACTTGATGAGGAGGAGGAAACACAGCAGGAGCAGGATGTGCAGTGGAAACACTTTGAATATGCACTGGGACAAGTGCGGCGGCAAATTACGGATACTGTCATCGAAGAGTATGAGAGATGGAGAGAGGGCCAGAAGTAAATATCTACATATATAAAATCTGCTGTACAATCAAAGATATAAGTTATTAAAATCAGTTGATGAGAGTTGAAGAGAGCTGAAGAGCTGAAGAGGTGAAGAGGTGAAGAGCGTATAAAGTGTAGGTGGATACCGAATTAGGTTAGTGCCAAAATGTGCAACCATCCCTTCTCTTAACCTCTCTCTTCTCTCTCTCTCTCACATTATCTCTTGGCATAGTATTCCAAGTTCTCCCTTTCTATCTCTTTTGCGAATTTCCTGTTCCAATTCTTCGCGCGATCTAGGTGATCTAGAGCTGCTTACTCTACATATCCAATCTATACCTAGGTACCACTTGAAGCCCTGGGAATCATTTTGGCGCGTGCGCTGAATCTTCAAAATGTCGTTGAGATCACCTCGTGGACGATCACCTCTACGTTCACCAGAGCAGGACCGAGCACGGTCTCAATCTTTACATCGTTCGAAACCCCGAAGTGAAAGCCCGTCCCGAAGCCTTACCCGAAGTCCGTCACGCGGACGACGCGATCGCTATCGTTCAAAAACCCGATCACGATCCCCGTCTCGTGGTCGAACCCGGTCTCGCAGTCGCAGTCGAGGTGGTCGCCGTTACAATAGCCGAAGCGAAAGCCGCTCACTTACTCCCAATCCTAGCCCTCCAAGAAGTGCTAAGGTAAGTGCCAGTCTTTTCCTGTTGTGACTATGGCTCTCCACCCGGTGCCCGCCATCATATATATTCACTCAGAGCTGACTTCTCTTCTACTCAACAGATCGTGGTAGAAAAATTGACAAAAAATGTCACAGAGAATCACATCCGAGAGATCTTCGGGGGCTTTGGGGAGATAGAGTATCTCGATCTTCCAATCAACGAAGCTTGTAAGACTCACTTTTCACCCGCGCTTCAAGTTTTGTCTGTCTCCTAACACTCTTGCAGTCATGACAAATAGGGGAACTGCGTATATCCTTTACTACGACCCCGCTGATGCGGAGGCAGCCATTGCCCACATGCACGAGGCTCAGCTTGACGGGGCCATTTTGAATGTCTCAATCGTTCTCCCTCGCCGTAAATTCTCACGCTCCCCACCCCCTGCATCAATTCGAGGGAAGGGCGGCCGCCCCAGGTACGGCCGAGGATCATACACCGGCCCGTCATCTCCGCCCAGACGGCACGGAGGCGGTCGACCTACAGAACGCCATGACATTTATAGGCCCCAGACTGCATCGAGATCACGATCTCCAGTTCGTTCCCGATCATACTCTTCTCGATCTCGCTCACCGCCACCCCGCAGAGGTAGTCCTCGCGCAGACTCGCGGCATCGACGACGCCGGAGCCCAAGCTACAGCAGTTATGGTTACAGCAGCCGAAGTCGCAGTCCAGACCGGAACCGAGGCCACAATCGATAATGAACGCCGAGGGTTTTCCAGTCCCGTTTCTTGCTGCGTACTGGTTCAACCCTAAAGGGGGATTGCGTGTGATATTCGGTGCGGGAAACTGAATTTCTCTCGCAAAATATCCAGAGTAGCTATTTCTATGCAACAGCCAACAAACTCCACTACTACTTTTAATGTACGGATTACAAGCTTTTGCGCTCCCCTCTCAAATAGTTCATATGTATACTCAGTTGTTGAGAAGTAGGATAAGACCTAGTCTTATTGGGTAGTGATGAAACAGCGGCAGACGCAAAAGATAACAAGGCTGGAATGACTACGCTATGACTTGAACAGAATGTATCAACCTCCAAAAAGAAAAGAAATCATTCAAAAGAACGAACACCATCCGATGTACATTGACGCCAGTTTCTTCTTGTCTGTTGCTTGTATGATCAATTCATCCACTTGACCATCCACTGAAAGTGCAATGGGCTGCTTAGACATGAAGCCACGGAGTTTGTTCCGAACATCTTCCAAAACGCCAGCTGGTGTGTCTGGGACATTCACATGGGTGCGACGCTGGGGTAAAGAGACTTGTTAGGAGCTGACTCGTTTGGAATCGGAGTTGAAATGTACTCACTCTCTTCCCGATAAAATCGGTGGTTGGATCATGCAAAAAGGTCTCGAGAACAGTCATCAAGGCATCCTCGTTTTGTCGCAGCAGGCTGAGCGTAATTTCACAAGTCCTTCTGAAGGGACCTATACCTTGGATGTTAGCGTGAGAGTAAAAACCCGAGAATATCCATAAACGAACCATTGTATCCGTAAGCGCCAAAGGCATCGATCATGTTATGAGTCAATCGGAATGGTACCACCTCGGGCTTCTCAAACGTTTGGCCTTTGTCAAAGAGACAGTTGAAATCAACATGTAGGAGGCCGCCTGTTCCTTCTTCGAATGAAAGGTTTTCGCCATGTCGATCGCCCAGACTTCATATATAGAAAAGAAAACTTGTTAGCATGATGTAACCTCCAGGGCATTAGGCGGAAGCAGATAGAGAGCCCTCAAATCATTGAACGGCGAGAGGACTTACCCAAGAACATATCCCACCATTGACATCACAGCAGAAGACCGTGTATACCTCAGTCTCGCTGTAAACCATGCTTCCGTTTCAGGAAACATCTCGACGAACCACTCATGAAGAACTGGCGGGAGCCTGCAACTGTCAGTATAATGGACTCACGGATGATTTTGAAACGGAGGATTTACTTGGCCAGAATGTTAGTGGTGAACAAAGGCAACTTTGCAAATGATCGATCAGCGCAGATCTCGTTCAAGGTATGCCTGATCTCGTTGTACTATTGCACACGTTAATAACACAGCCTGGGTATTGTGTTGGATGTGGTTGTACCTACATTTGGTGAAATGCCTCTTTCACGCAGCAACTTGATGACGATCTCTCTCAGTGTGCGGAGGTTATCAACCCATTCAATAAGACCACATTCCTCGTTTAGAGGCGTCACAGCGTATGTTTTGATGTCTGTGCCGGGTCAGCCTTTGGAATGGCCCAAAGTTCATCAATTCACTTACACATGCGCCGCTTGCTTGATTCGACGTCTCTCTTGAGGAATCGGTTGATCATGTTGTTGAATTCCATGAGACGTTGGTCCTTGCGCAAATCGTCTTTGGGCTTGCAAAGTGCGTTATAGATCTTCCCGTCAGACCCTCGCAGGCTGATTTTGCGTGGCTTTTGAAGTGAGTTCAAAATCTGCGCTTCGTCCAAAACAGCTAATTTCGGTTAGTTTGTCTTTGCGGGAATAGGAAGTTGGTAACGTACCCTCGATGGTTGTTGGATCCCGAGGGAAGGCCCTGAAGCCTTTGACGTATTCGATGTTCTGACTGGCAGGGAGACTTGGGATCAACATTGCCTGGAAAGGCACCACTAATCGGCATGGCGCAACTTTATGATTGAACCCTAGATTGCGGCCGAGTTGAACTCGAGATGACTTTTCCTCCACCGGAGCAAGGCAGAGTTGGAGTAGTTCCTCTGAGAACTTTGTCCCTTGAGTGATCATGCGACGGATTTCCGATGCTGTTGAGGATTCGACTTTTGACTTGTTTCCGTAGTCCTGGACAAGTTAGTCCCTCGCACTCTGTTTCAGGCGGATGACACTTACTATGATCTTCTGTAGGCAATTATACCCCCTTTTAGCCCGCTCCTTATTGGAGGACTTGACAACGGCGAGGACTGTCCAGAGACCTTGCTGTGGGAAGTTGTGAACCGCCTTGGCCACAATCCGCGTCAACAGATCATAGACTGTGATATTCGGGTGACAGATCCTGGCAACCACTTGGGGTAAGATTGTGAACAGCTACAACTGTCAGCTAGCTATCCCAGAAAATCAAAACTTAGTAAACCCACCAGAGCCGCTTGCAAGCGTTTGTCGATGAATTTCTTCAGTTGTGCATGCATCTCATCGAGACTCTTCTTCCGTTGCGCTTGTGTATGCTTTTGAAATTCTCTAGTGTGTGGTGAAGCGATCATTAGCAAATGTTTACCGATGGCCACACCAATAGACTCTTTCTTACTCGTTATCGCCTCTCTTCGGATCAATGGGTTGTTCAACAATCGAGGCATGTTCAAGCCAGAGGGTCAGAAGCTTGGGTAAAGTCTGGAAGACATATTTGGTCCCATATGTCAGCGAGCGAAGATAATTGTCAATGACAAGCTTTGTAGCTTCTCCACTTAAGCTGTGTGATATTTGTCAGTGTCAGTTAGGGAATGCGAAGTCCGATCAACTGACTATATTTGAGCTTCCTTGCCCATGGGCTTGGCCTTCTCGGACTCCAAAATTTTATTGTAATGCTTCCCCAGGTAATAATGTGCCCTTTCCCACCTGTTTGCCCATTAGAACTGACCGTGTTAAAGCGATGGTAGTGCAACTTACTTCGGGTACAGCTTGATGGCCTCTCGGTATCTCTGGACAATGGCCTGAGAGTGGGTCTGACCAGCCCTGTCCGTCCATTTGGCTAACATCAAATGAGCCTAGACGGGTTAGTATCTAGTCCATGTGAACTGTGTTGTGTCACTTACGAGAGCAGTAGATTCGTTTTGATGCTGCCCACGACCTGAGAGAAACGACATGGCTTCAATTTCGACTGAAGAAGATGTACTCGAGGTAGCTTCGTTGGCAGAAATCGCACCCTCTAGAGTCTGAATGGCTTTTCGATGATGTCCATCTTTCCAGAGGAGTCGCGCATGTTCTATGGAAGCAGATCTGTCTTTCAACCGTGCTGCGTTGAGCATCGAGTGATACGCTTGACTGCTGAAATTGCCCTTTCTCGAAAGGCGGGCACTGGTGAGCCATGCAGCGGATATATCAGAATCCGCAAACTCGCCCCTGTATCGTACTTTTAGCTATCTGTTTCACCCTTTGTGGACCATGAACTCACGCTAGCTCCATTGTGGCTCGTCTCAACCCCAATAGGTATTGTTTATCGGAAAGGTAACCACCCAAAACATCCAAACGTCGGTCTAGGGCAGCCAGCAATCCCGGTCGCGATTGGCCTGATTGTGCTTTGGCAATGGATTCGACCTCCGACAAAGCATGTAACCGGAGCATGTCATCATGGCATGCTTGTAGTGACGCCACCGAATTCGTGGTTAGTGACCGGGCAACGTTAAGCCTGAGCTCGTTGATTTTACCAGTAAATGACTCGTCTTGTTTTTGACGCAGAGCATCAAGAGCTGAGCCTATCCCAACGTTAAACTCTTCAGTTCCCTGTTTGGCGCAAAGATCAAGATAGCCCTCTAGCTTGTCCCATCTACTCATTATCCACGAAGCTTCAACCGCAAAGGGCAGGAACCGTGAAGCCGCTGACTCATTTTCTTTGAGGACCTCGAAACGAGTGAGAATAGCATCTAGATAACGGTGAGCAAGAAGATGGAACAGGTAACAACTGTCTTATGTTCGATCTTACCTTGTTGGCCCGATTCTTTGAGACAGGTCACAAGATTCCATTGTGCATCAACGTTGTCGGGTTCCTTCTCGAGTTGTAGCTCGTACCAACTCTGCGCCGTGGCCCATCTCCCAGCTTTCCGGTGCTCAAGGATTTGCTGGTCAATGTCCAGTGCAGACAAGTGACTTGAAATGCCTTCAATTCCATCGGGTTCATCAATCTGGCTATAGATGTCTTGTAATCTTTGGTATAGAGGCTCGAGGCTGGATCTCTCCTGTGATTCCCCGTGGACCTTGCATTTTCGAATGTACTGTTCCCAGTGGAAAAGTGCTTTGGAGAATGATTTACATTCAACAGCTCGCTTAGAGATGATCTCGGGCGGTATTGAGGATAAGAGATTCTCGACAGACTTGATCTGCGATGAGTATTTATCAATGAGCGCGTCACGGCTTTGATCTTTATGAGAACGACTCGTTTGGTTGGAATTGTGACTGAGGCCATTAAGATGCTTTTTCTTTCCTTGCAGCCACCTAGACAGGTAGTCTAGCACCTCAAAAACGCTCTATCGTCGATGAAAGGGCCATTGTCAGTATTAGGACAGCCAGTTCAATTCCTCGGAGATACTCACCTGGCTACTGCTTATGATTGTCTCGCGAGCATTGTTGTTTGTCTCTGGAACAGGATGTGAAAGAACGCTCATCAATTCATGTTGAAGATTTTGTTGTTCTTGTTCAGTCCCTCCCACGATGCGGTTCAGGACCGCAAATGGTAAAAGAAACGAAGAGATGGAAATGTCCTGACCCTTCACAACCCGACTCGATATTGAGAAGACCATTTTTGCGTTGTCTCCATTCCCAGTTTGCAGAAGATCCTGCACCAGCGTTCGAAGCCACTCACTGTGAGTCAACTTCGGGGAGAAGAGAGGATAGTTGACTTCAGTATGATTGGTCACAACAGTGACCGTATAAGTAGACGTAAGAAATGGCGTAAGAGTGTTGCGAACACTTTCCGGAAGCTCCATCCAGCGTTGATACTTCTCATCAACCTGTAAATCGCGGGAGCGTTGGGTTAATACCGCATTCAGTTTGCAAAACTTGAGCAGGCCTTGCATAGCCCATGCTAGAAAACCCTGAGCCCTAGTGTTGGAAGCAGACAAGAATGCATCAACCAAAACATGCTGAAGGAAGAAAAGAATGAATGCAACTGTTTCTTCCATTCTGTCAAAGTTGGATAAGACCAGTATATCCTTCTTCTCTTTGATTGTTTCGACTCGGTTTGGATCGAGACAGCCGACAAGCCCTAGGCATCGAGCCGACAATAAAGTAATGCTGTCTGAGGTGGTACTGAACTTAACACAACAGTCCAACAATGACCTAGTTAGCTGAGCAACCACAGGATCTGGTTGTTCACTCAGAACAGAGTCATGGAGAAACTCTTCATTTGCTGACAGAAAGGGGGCCAATTCCATTAGAGCTTGTTCAACAACGGTCGCATTTTCACTCTGGCAGCGGCGAATTAACGCCAGGAACTGGCTTCGAACGTCCATTTGGGCTCTCATGTCATTGATTTTGGCATCAAAGGCAGCCATCTCTGGAATCGATGCAAGCGAAGGCATGGTGCTGAAGGTATCTCGTACAAGACTCGGGTGGTTAGTCAAAATATGATCGATCAGTTGACATGCGCGGGTTCTGCTCTCTTCGGTCAGGTTATCCCAATATCTGATTACAATCGCTAGCGTTTGATCAATTATTGGCTCAAGGTCCTCTTCACTAAGAGAACTAATCAATGTCTTCCACGCGGAGAATGCATAATCACACAGTTCCTCGATCTCTAGCGCGGACCGAAGACATGCACAAACCTGCAATGTTCAGTCACTAAAATTGAACGATTTGCAAGGCTGTATACATACCTGAGGCAATGCACTGCTAACATGACCCTGGGCGATATTGATCATCTCTTCAATGGCTTTGATGTTTCTTCTCTTCTCTGCCAATGTTTGTCTCACTTGGAAGTCGTTGATAGCATTTGCGAATTGTGTGATAATACCGAGTACGTGCTCCTCGATGAATTGACTTAGATCCGCTTTCTTCGATGAACTTCCATGCGCAATCTTTCGCGGAACAAACGTGGCTAATCGATGGAGGGCTTGGTTGAACTGAAGGGACTCTCATTAGCGGTCCAGGAAAGGTGGAAACAAACGAGAACATACCCTCTCTTTTTTTGCCTCACCCGCATCGCCAAGGCTCTTCAGCAAGTCACAAGCAATAAGAATTGGCTCAATCCTCACCAACTCCGCCAAAGACCGACCCTTGAATGCGGGGTCTATATCCGCTAGAAGAGACATGATCATACCCTCGGGGTTGTCTGATTGCTGGGATAGGAGGAAAGCAAGGATCGCGGCCAGGTTATTCTTCTCCGAGCAAACGTCAAAAGCAGACTCACCTTCGTTGCGACTAGCTCCAATCCTGCAAATGATGTCTCGTTTTCGTGTCAAAACCAGGTAGGGCAAGACATGGACTTCTGTCAAACGTAGGAAACCATCAACCTTCATGCCAAGCAGATCGCATAGCTGTTCGGCCATATACGGGCGAGACTGGAGATTCTTGACCACAGTCACCGCAAGGGTCCTCCAATAAGGCCGAAAGAGGCCAGCAGGTGTCAAGGAAAATTGTTGGGCAAGTTTGGATAACTAAATTCAGAGGTAAGCTGTTTCCATATCTCTAGAAACCAAGAGCAAAGTAATCTGAGGTATAATCTCAGGGGTACGCACCTCGTTGTAAGCCACGGAGCAAACGTAGGGGTTTGGATGACCGAGGTACTCCAAGAGCCGAAGGAGAATGATGTTCTTCTCTTCATCTTCCGAGACACTATATACAACAAATCGTGAGATAAAGTACGAGGGTTTGGAGAACAGAAACTCACATTGCCAGCCCACAGAGTGTTAGTATGCAAGCTTCCTGTAATGGCATATCATCTTTTCCGGAAAGATTTTTAAGCCACTCAAGCACAACGACGAAATTGGCCCGGCGGATATCCGTTGGTAGATTTGAGCGCACGAAAGCTACCACTGAATGTCTATAAAATAGTTAGTATCCAGTGCGAAAGTGTGCATTTCAGGACCGTCGAACGCACCCAGTTGCAACACGCAGTTCTCTGATTGAGCTCCGGAGCGAGTGAAGACAGAATTCTCCCGAGGCAGAGTTTGAAATATGCATTTGATCGGAGTTTGGAGCATGCATCAAAATTCTTCTGAGTGCGACCATTGCAGATATCCGAGGACCAGGCGCGCGTGTAAGCTTGGGTAGGATGAAGTTGAACAGTGACCATATCTCTTCAAATTCGGAATGCTCCTCATTTCCCGAGCGATCATTCTGATACTGATCTGTATCGCATGTTTGACAAAAGAGTGTGTCTCGTTTTATGACATCCGAGGGCTTCCTCAAGAGCTTCTCTGCCGTTGCACAGCAAATTTTGCCTAGGATGTCTAATAGCTCGGTCCGTTTAGATTCGGAGAGTCCCTCGTAGGATGATCTTTTACATAGATAAATTAGTATTTCACACCTTTATAGGTGTCCGTTGTCCACTCACTGGATGGAGCTGCGTAGATCCGCCATCGTTTTGCCACAATCGGATTGAAGGATCGCCGATACATTCCTGGCAAGCAAATGAAACAGGCCATGACTGGTGGATCCTGTTGGTAGACCTGGGAGACACAGCCGCTTCGCTGCCCGGGCATATTCATTCGGCTCCGCTTGGTGTAAAACCCCGGCTCTCTGAAATGGCGTATCTGACCCCTCGTAAACATCCCCCGGTGATCGTTTGGGTGGACAGACTGTCAATGGCGATGCTGTATCTAGAAGCTGGGCATGCAAGGCCTGGAGAGGGCTCTAGTCTGGTTTTAGCTCGGCAACCCGCCTATGTTAGATATGAGAGAAAGCTTACCCAGAGACACGACTCAGGCGACTGGAGGCTGGAATTACTGTCTTTAACTTCTGTCAGCACTGGAAGCAGGGTTTCCCTCAATTGTTGCGTCAGAGGCTGAGAGGATTTTGCGGTTTCTGTCAAATCGCACAAGAAGCGACTTAGAATGACCTGAACAGAAGGCAACCTTCCTATATTCTCAAGACTCAGAAAGCCGCACAAGCATTGGGACCAAGTAGAAGTCAGGCTCATGTTTGAGAGCAGCCCAGCCAAAGTCGATTCTGGTACGCAGCATCGGTGCAGATATGTCAGGTATTGCAAAGGCACAATTGCATCTTCCGAGGTGAGCTGTGCTCCTTTTACTTGCAACCACTCGATAATGACCTGTCTAAGACGATGGAAACCATTCAGTACCCACGAGAAATTTTGGCGGAGAATGAGATCATGATGTTTTGCACGGGATTGCATCTCGCCCCTCGGGTTGAACGAATCAAGCAATCGACAGGCCAGAGAGACCGTCTGCACAAAGCTTCCAAGAGCCGTGTTGCTGTTGAATAATCCAGGGGAGAGACCTAGGTTTTGAGTGTCTTCAATAAGCGATCCATTTGCTGCGGGTATCGACAACCCTCTGGGGCGGGTATCCCAGGAATTGCTCCGTTGAAATGTTTCAAGGGAGCACAAAATATCTAGCAAACGTTAATTTGACCCAATCTTCTATATCATCGGGGGCCATAAACGGACCTGACGTGCAAGCGCGCAGAAATGCAGCAACGGCATAGCTTGCAGGCAATGAACGGGCTTGCTTGAACTGGGAATAAGCTAAGCTGGCACAAAGAAGTTGAATCTTTTCTCGGACAGTCTCGGAGGTCCAGGTGGTGGCGAGTCGAATCAGTCGTAGGATGAGCCATGCGAATAGAGGAGCATGTATATCCTCTCCCAGGATGAGAGGATCAGAGGATTCCCACAGAACTTGTGGCGCTTTCTCAATGCTGGCCTGGATGATATCTAAGCAGTCGAGAACTTGCCCTTCCAGATCTTGCTCTGATGCGCTCCGGTTCGGGTTAATCTCTAGGCCGGCCTTTAAGACAATGCATATAAGTTTGTTGATATCAGTGACATCTTCGTCGACGCGTAGCTGACTCTGTATTTCACTAAGAAGCTCCTGGCGAAGCTGTGCAAATGTCTCCCGGGTAAGATGTGATTCATTTCCCTGGGTTGCAAGATGCGGTACGAAACGCGAAGCAAGGATCGACGAGGCAGGTTCAGCTCTCCAAGCGTCCCCAGGCGCAGTGGCCCGTTCATTCTCTCCCTCGATTGCCATAGGGTAAACACATGTTCATAATACCAGGTTTGAAATTTCAATTCCTCGCGTTTAAGTAAGTTCCGAGGCTGGGTTGTGTTCGTGTGGATGTTTGAAGTGCGCAGATACGCGGAGAGAGTTGATATATCGATTGACACCTGAGGCACCAAATATCCACTGATGATATTATCAGAGCTAATGATCATTGAATCATTCTATAAATTGGCCTCATATCTATCAGGTTAGGTAAAAAGGTCCATGGTAATTGATGAGGTTTTCTATATAGGCGTATTTGATTTTCAGAGCATCTCTGCGATCGCTATAAACTCGGCATGTGTACATATATAGGAAATTTGGAAAATAAATTGAAATTTTTCAAAATCGAGATACGAGATATCGAAGAAATATAAGACATTCAGGGGAAACTGCAAGTGTCCATAGATGCGAATGTCCATTGTATCATTGTTGGACCTTGGATTTTGGCCCAGAGTTGGTCAACCTCACGTTGAAATTTCGGGTGCCACTGCTCTTTACCCTCTTCCGACTTCACTTCATGACCTTCATGACCATGAGATACCTCACCAGTCACTGGAGTCAATTCAATTAAGTCTAACATACACAGAGAAGATAAATTTCGAATTGGCCATGGAGTTCAAGGGTGACTCCGTGGAGGATTCGAGACATGGATATTTCATGAAACAAGCCTTGTTGATGGTATGAAACTCGCTGATGCCGAATCGAAATATGCTCATTCAGACATAGGGCGAGAAGGCTCTTCAGTCAGGCGAAACTCCCGTTGGCTGTGTTCTAGTGCACAACGATCAAATCGTGGGGTTTGGCATGAACGACACAAACAGATCTATGAATGTGAGTGACTGTTAAATCCATGGATATCTCAATAGAAACCGCTGACCGCCCCTTAGGGAACGAGACATGCCGAGTTTATAGCGATCGCAGAGATGCTCCAAAGCCACCCTAGGTCGGCATTGCAATCCACCGATCTTTATGTTACAGTCGAACCCTGTGTGATGTGTGCTTCCGCCCTGAAGCAGTACCGCATCCGCAGTGTGTACTTTGGGTGCGCCAATGATCGATTTGGAGGCACTGGAGGTGTTCTTTCATTACATTCCGAGTCAGTACTCTAAAAAAAAGACAAGGTCGTCGACCGATCGAGGCTAATCGGATCCAGTCCCTCAATTGACCCATCATACCCTGTCTACGGTGGGCTGTTTGAGAAAGAAGCAATTATGTTGCTCCGTCGTTTCTACATACAGGAGAACGAAAAAGGTAGGAATTAGGATGCACAAACTCCAGCCTTGATTACTTGCTGATTATATATCAGCTCCCAATCCCAGACCGAAAAAGAATCGGGAGTTGAACACCAGATTCGAAAATGACGAAGCGCCACCGACCTGGTAGGCTGCAAAGGTTTGGATCCGGTCTCCAGACATAATTTTACTACACAATACCTTCTGGGCTAGATTGAGTCTGTTTTTGATACAACCGGGCAAAGGGAATCTCCATATAAATATGAAAAGCGTCAAGGTTGATCAGAACGGGAATCTGTATTGTGAATATCAATTGCGCCCCCAAAAACACACACAAAATCGAATATGTGTACAAATCTGCAACACTGAACGGAAAGGCTGTCCACCATTCTTTTTTTCTTTCTAGCTGATGGTGTATATTCATGAAGAGCCAGTGCGCTCTGCCTCCAATTCCCGCTCGGCCTGCTGGTAGTATTTGGCAGTGTCCACACCATGCTGATACGAAAATAATCAACATCATCCCTCTCAGATCGACATGAATGGAGGGCTTACCTGATCATGGTTGACAAAGTTGAACCATGGGACAACATGGATGAAAAGTTCTGAGTACCGCGAGTTGCGGGCTGCCATGCCTTGTAGATAGGACGACATTTGGGATTTACCGTAAAGAGGCTCGCCCTTCTTGACCTTGTCGACCATCTCACGAGTATCCATTTCGACCTCTCTAGCGTTCTCAGTGAAGCCATAGAAGCGCTCTGTGAAGGTGTTAGTTGAGACGTCATCCACTCCCAAAAAAGAAGTGGAGGGTGCAGGTGGAGGGATATGGCTTACGGCAGGATCGCTGATAGAGGATATGAAGACCGCCAAGCAGACCAACGGCTGTCGCGAGTCGCATAACGGGGGCAAAGCCACCGCGGCCTACATGCGACGGGCTTGCTCTCTCCATGATCCAGAAGGAGATGGGAGCAGCTGAGGCCATACCGCCAGCCACGGCCCAATCGGAAGGCCGGGCATATCCGAACACCCGTTTCAAATGCCTGAAAAAGATGTGAGCTTGTGACAAAATCTTAGAATCCGGGGTAAATCGTACGGGTCGGAATCGATCAACTGTGGGATATGTTAGCAAAAGACGTACGCAAGCGAGCAACCTGGGAAAAGTAGTAGCCCCGGTCCATATTAGATCGATCATACCGGGTAGTCAGTGTTAGCCCGCTTAGAGGGCACAATGGCTGTTTTGGTATCGGTCGCCATGTTGCTTGAAGTGTGGATGTTCAAGCATTCGAGGTTGAAGTTCTGGGAGTTGGAGGGAGAAGAGAACGCTAACCTTATTAGGCCTAGCACAATTAAGGCGGACAAGACAACCAGCAGCCAATCAGAGCGATAACAGCTCGCGTCACGCGTCAAGGCATTTGATTGCGATCCCAAGTTAACTACAACATAGTATCTTATCCCATAGTACATGGAAATTGAATTGTTCCAATCCGAGTGTCACCCTCCTTTTTCCTTCTTTTGGGGTCAACTATCCAGTCATCTGATTCTCTCAAATCGACCCCTTGATACTTGCACCTACAACAGTATCTGCGCGCAATTGAAACTATGGCGAACGCGAACATTTCAGAACGAGGAAGCTCACCGACAGCGGGTGATTTGAACGATCTTTTCGATTATGATATCGGCTTGGATGAGATTATTCCGGATAACAATGTACCAAATACCACCAGCACCAAGGCCTCTGGGACAGGTGATTCTGCACTTGGTTTAGGTCTTGACGAAGAAGTCAAAGTCGCAAAGAAACGACAACCCGTGGCCAAATTAGATGAGGGCCGGTGAGTCTCACGTGCCTCCCTCTTTCTTTCAACCCTCTCTTTTATCTTGTTTCGGGAGAGCACTTGGGGCTGCAACAGTGCTGACGAACAGGCTAGTTTACTCTCACAATCGGGCATACCAAAACTGCGACATACTGCCAGACAGAAGCTGAAATTCAAGGGCAAAGGGCATGAGGTTCGTTCGTTTTATCTATCGGGCATACCTAAGGTATGGCCAGTGTAACTGATTTGAGTTCGGTATAGTTCAAGGACGCCGCACGCCTGCTCAACTTTTACCAGCTATGGCTCGATGATCTATTTCCGCGCGCAAAATTTGCAGACGGTCTGACAATGATTGAGAAACTGGGACACTCAAAACGCATTCAGGCCATGCGAAGAGAATGGATAGACGAGGAGAAACCAAGACTTTTCGATAGCTCTGGACTCACGCGAGAAGAACTCGAAAATAACCACGTCCCTAAGAACCATGCGGATTCCAATCATAGCCCAGCCGCGGTTATTCAAGGCCAGGAAGGTGTTGCCGACCAAGACCTGTTTATCCCAGACCCAAACGAGAGCGCGCGGGCTACAACCAGCTACCCCGAGCCTGAGCCCGAGGATGATGATTTGGAGGACCTTCTCAGAGAACAGGATGAGCCAATTTTCCGCCCCAAAGTGCGTGCCTCGTCTCCACGGGCACCAGATGACGATAACGACGACTATGATGCTGAATACGAAGTCATGAAGGAGCTTGGGATGTAGTTGTGAACGCACCTTGTATGATAAATCTTAATGACGGCGATCCCAGGATATGTTCAACGCCCAGGAATAAGCTAAGCGATAAGCCCGCCCGGATTACTGGCAGACCATACATATTTTAGTCAGATCACCTATGTATGTGACCGGACGCCGAATAAGTCTAAAACTAGAATTACTGGGAATAACACATTGGGATCACGTTGGAGAAAAAGAATTAATTTCAAATAACGTGCTAACTGAGTAGAATAACTGGAGATTGCAAAGCAACTCTTCACCGTACTGCTCTGGAAACGGGACAACACGTAGAAGGGGGAAAGAAACATGAGATGTTACAATAAAGGGGGCCAATTGAATGTATTGACCTTACATGCTGGCAGGCTCTGTGAACACAGAGAACTGACCACCGGCACCCGCCCAGTTCAACTTCTTTCCACGAGTAGCAGTGTTGTCAATAACAGTAGCCACCTCGATGTCATCCTGTGTACCTTGTCCAGTTTGGTACGTAGCGGAGAAACCCCATGACCATGCACGGCCATCGGCATCGATAGCGAGAGAATGATCCGAGGCAGCCGCCACAACCTTGGCGTTGATGCCAGGAACGGGGGTAGGGGCAATTAGGATACGGGGGCGATCGCGCTCATCCTTGATAACGGCGTCGTCGGAAAGGGTATCGATCTTCAAGCCGCTTTGGAAACCGTCGAGACGGCCCCAAACCAAGCAGTCACCATCGCCAGCAATGGCAACCGAGTGATGGGCGCCGCCACAGATTTGGGAGATCTTTCTGTCAGAAAGTGATTCGACAAGCGTGGGATGCACGATAGCAGCTTCGTCGTCACCGGCGCCTTCGCGGAGGGCCGTTGCACCAAAGCTATTCAATCCCCAGGCATAGACATTGCCAGTGGTGTGGACAGCAAACGAGTGGTACGAGCCACTCCCGATGTGGACAATGTTCTTGGGGAGACCGAACTCCCGAGGCTGAAGACCATTCAATCTGTTGCGCTCCACGATCCTGCGACCGAGCTGGTTTTGTTGTCCTGAGCCCCACGATGAGACGCGACCTTGGTCGTTCAGGGCAAGAACGTGATTGGCTCCACAAGTCAGGTGTGTGATCTTCTTCAAAGACGGGATCAAAGTTGGGGTCCTTTGAACATGAGAAGACGCGTCGAATCCGAGGATTCCATCGTTGCTCTAGAACCGTTGTTAGTAAAAGAAATCGGATCCAAGGTAGTCACATATCATCTTACTCGGAAGGTGCCCCAGCCATAGACCAGACCATCGTCGGTCAGGGCAAAGCTTGCGCTATCGGCAGCGGCGACTTCAACGAAGACAGTGCCTTCGGGGAATGCGGTAGCTGGAATAGCAGTTGGGATAGACTCTCTCGGGTTTAGGCCGCTGTCTTCATCGTCTGAGTCGGAATCGCTGTCGTTTTCAATGTCCTTGTATCCGCCCTCCCATTCGGTTTCTCTTCCGAGCGCGCCCTGGTCGTTCACGCCCCAGGAAAAGATTTTGTTGTCATGGGTTAGAGCCAGACAGTGCATACCACCAACAGCAACCTGTACAACACCGACCTCTTCGGCAGACAGAAGCTTGTTTAAACGTGGGCGCTTCACATCGATAACATTCTTGGCTGTGCCCAAGCCCAGCTCACCAGAGCTACCCTCACCACAGACAAAAACGTTCAGCTTAGCTTTCGGGGCTTCGTTGATGACAACTTTGGCTTTCGGCTTTGGTTGACGGGGTTGCGCGACACGAGATCTTTTTATTTCGCGAGGTTTCTCCTCTTCCTCATCAGCTTTGCGCTTCTTCGTAGTAGACGTGGATTTTGTAGCAGTTGACATTTTGCTTGGCTTCGCAGTTGACTTGGTAGATGTTGCAGTCGGCTTTGCGATGGACTTTGCGATGGACTTTCCAGTGGACTTTGCAGTTGGCTTTCCAGTAGACTTTGCGGTGGACTTTCCAGTGGACTTCGTAGTTGGCTTCGTAGCTTCTTTCACCTGTTTTTCGGTCTTTGTGACGGTAGCCTGTCTGGCGCTGGTGCGTACTCGAGTACTTCTCTTGACCGTCTCCGTCGAAGCCTCGACGGACTTGGACGTGTTCTTCTTAGGAGGCATTCTGTCTCACGACTCAGCTATTAGAAATAGCAAAGAATGAGAAAGAACAGGGGGTGGGGGGGAGGAATGTTTGAAGCTGAGATTGAAAGAATAGAAGGGAAAGGTATGTGAAGGGTAGAAGGGGAAGAAAAAAAACAAGTGCCAAGCCAAAACATAAGCCAAAACAGCACCGGACATTCTCTCCCCAGCCACCTCAATGGGCTGATTCATTGATATTTCATTGGTATTCATATTCATTGATGTTCATATTTATTGGTGTTACGCGTAAAAACGCGTGAATATGTTTATTGTATTTATGAAATAAAATTATAGAATTATCGCTCATTAGATAGAGACAATAGACCGTCAATGGGTTGTTTCTTCGCGAATCTTTCCACACATAATCACATTTTGTCCCAATGGCATCCATTTAACATCTCGAGGATTCAATGCAGCATTAGGTGTACCCTCTTGATCTTGTTTCGAGTCAGGGCTGA